CCGAGAACACACACACACACACACTCTGGATGTTTTTGACATGCCCTCGAAGCAGAAGTTTTAAATTTACGTAGCACGTAGCACATCTTGAAGCTAAAAACTTTAAATGCCGTTCTTTCTGAGGTGTAAAAAACCCTGTCGTTGCTACGTATAGCAGGCAAGAAACCCTAAACCCCATCACTCAACAGACCTCGAACCACATGCCTCGCCTGGATTATCGGAGTGCGAGCGCCGAAACCCCAAAGCCGATCGTAGTTATAAGTGGGGTTATAATTACGGTAACTATGGCTATAACCCCTATTGGGGGACTTATAACCCCATTTATAACTACCCATGAACCTCCAAGTAAAAGCCTTCAACCCCCTTACCAGGCTGATCTTCCTGACTCCCGCGGCCGCACGGCTCTGCATGTCGCTGCCCGGAAGGGCCTCACGGACCTCCGAGTTTGGGGCGGGTCCAGGATTTAAGGGTCTGTAGCTTTTAGGTTTTAACACTTTGTTGGGCGGTTCTTTGAGGCTCAGGATTTCGGGTTTGGATTCCGCGTCTAGGGCTTTGAGGGTTTAGGGTTTGTGGCATATCTGATGCCAGAATGCGTCTTTTGAAATGAGAAAACCATCTTCGTGTAATACATGTATTTGTCTCTTCTGGAACGAACTGAAGCTTCAGTGTTTTCTAAATCATGCTCTTTATTGTCACCCTTGATACTGGATGTGTTACTGTGTGAAACTTGTTTATCACCGTCATCGATATTGACCGCTCAAGCCTGTAAGTTCGTAATTTCATACGTTTGTGTTTGTTTAATTGTAATCTCAGTTTTGGTTTTTGAAGATGTGTGATAAGCCTGCATCCTTGTTCATATAGGCGTCAATGTGCCATTCCTTTACGTGTGGGCGTGGGCCTGGGGGCATTTGGTGGGGCGCTCGGCGAGTCATAGGGCAGGAACCACCACCCACGGCGAGCGAGGCAGTTTTTAACACATAGGGGAAAGACGAGACGAAAGGACAACAGAAAAAGTTGTGCGCGCTACTTTTGAAAAGCTTTACCTCTAGACTGAAACCAATACCACAACAACCACGAACGCCTAAATCGAAGAACCCTGAACACCTAAACCGAAAAAAAAACTTCAATTCCTAAACCTAAAAACCTGGAGGACGTACCGGTGTCTCGTACTTGTTGTCGCCGATGCCGTTGACGTACTGCGGCATGCTGTCCTTCATCGAGCAACTAACCCCAACACACTAGCCCATGATTCTTCCCGAGCTCTACATGGGTGGTTGTCAAAATTAGGATCCCTTTTTGGGTCCTTAATATAATACGGCACCTAATATGCATGTAGGGTACCCAGAAAGGGACCCTAATTTTGACAACCACCCACATGAGTGTGTGCCCATAAGCACAGCCGGTCAAGACTTCACAAACCCACCGACTGGGGCACAGGGCTGACTGTAGCAATCTTTCGTTTACGACACCCAAAGTCCTCAGTGTTTTTTAAAATTTAGGCTGCTAGAGAAAGTCGTACAGGTATAATTGCGCTAAACCAACTCACGTCCTGAAACGAAAGTCACAACTTAGCTCCACAACATACCCGCCAGGACTTGGTGCCTTTGATCCTGGGAAGTCGGGCCAACCCAAATGCTCGAGACAGTGATGGATGGACTGCATGGTGTTTTTTTGTACCCAGGGTGTACGTTGCAGGGCTTTTTGTGTTCATTATTTTCGGATCTAAGATGCCAAGCGCATAGGGTACATACAAGGTTTTGGCGGCATATGTTCCTTGTGCCATACCCGCAGAGAATTCCAGCAAGATCCATTTCTGAGGATTCCAGGACCTAGCAACACAAATATCCTGAAACATCTTGAAGACCCTAAAGCGTAACGCACTCCGGGCAATCATGTCCTATTGAGTTAGTCCCGTCAGTCCTGTCAGCTCACATGAACCTTATTCCCAGCAGTTTGCTGCAGGAGGGGCTGAGGTCCTTTGACTAAGTCATGCTATGTGATGTCGATGATCTCAGTGAAAAGGATGGCCCATTATTGGTCGGTGTATCCCTTACGGATCTCGTTGTTGTGCCGTCCAAGCCTGTCACTAGGACCTTGTTTCACATTCTCATTAGCAGACCTCGAACCATATGCCTCGCCTGCGTTGACGATTGTGAGCGCCGAAAGCCGCAAACCTGACCAAACCACAGAGCCGTAACTTGCAAGAAGCCGTCACCTTGAAGGTCCAAGTTCCAGCAGGTACATGACGAAGATGATGAAGACAGAGGGAGGGGCATAGAGAGCGAGGGAGATCTGTACTCTAGGCATAATGACCATCATCATTACCAACATTCAGACATTATCACCGGGCCTATCTGCACCGCCATCACCTCCGCCACGCCATCATCACCTCCGGCAAAATGGTCACAACCGTCATCGCTATCACGGCTGCTTTCTGTGCTGCTCTCGGGCCGCGTGGTCGATGTGGTGCTAGTTGACGGGTCCTTCATGAAATCAAAAGGACGGCACTCCACCATGCCGTCTTCAATGGCCACTCTGAAACGGCTGGGGTGCTAAGGGAAGTCCGGAAGAGAGTTTGCCAGTGTTTCAGGCTCTTCTGTGTTGGCGGTTCAAGGCCAGGCATGGGGCTGATAGGACTTACGGTCGAGATTGCTTTGGCTGTCTTTCTTGCCTACCAATATAGGGCCTGAGTGATTGCCGATACTATTCCTTTGGGTTAAGTGTTATCATTGACACATAACATACCCCAACAGCTTATGCACTCGTATTTCAAAGGGCCCATATTACCCGGCTTGGATTTGTCTGGGCTTTGTAGGTTTTATGAGATGTCGGGTCCTGTGTCAGCGTTGAACTTTGTACTGAGGGCTGGAGGGTGAGGCCTGCGGATGCACTCCCTGAAACTGAAACCTTATACAAACTGATGCAGCCCCACCCAGAAGTTATACGACAAACCCTATCAACCCTGAACCTTGCAGGCATCCTAAACGTGAGTTGGCAATCCTGGGCAAACCTACAGCCCTAAACCGAAACTGCCTTAGTTTCGAAGCGTGTATTACTGCTTTCTTGTACTACTCCTGCTCGTTCGCGGTTTTTATATAGCCCAAAACCACTAAACTCCAGCCTACATAGCTTACTTGTCTGTAGGTGCTCATTACGAACCCTAACATAGCATTTATGGGAATCCTACAGAAAAATAGGTTTCCGTGGTTCGAGATACGCCCCAAACCCATCTTTCAGGTTATGAAGTTGCTCGACGGACAAGCTGATCCAAAGGCTGGTGCTGAGAACAGCTGCCTATCTCCCAGCCGAGCCAAGAGCACCAAAAACCCTGTCCCCAACCCTTGAAGCGGCAGCAGCTTCCCCGACCCTCACTCGACCTGACATGATGTGTAGCCGTTTATAGCTTTCAAAAAAAATATTGCTACCATGCCCACCAACACGACGATCACCATGACTACCAGTTCATGACTAGTGCTTCCTTCCCATCCTAGGATGCCCAGTAGTACCCTTATTCCCTTTTTCTAGTCCTAGGTTCCTTATAAAGTTACCCAGTGCCAAAAGGGGAGGCCTTTTTATTCTTAGGTTACTGGGCATCCTAGCATCTTAAACCCCAGAAGCTGACATGTTGGATCTTCAAAGCCTGAGGCATGACAGCCTGAGCTCGACCTTCGAGCTTCATCCCTGAACCCTCATGCAGAAGAATAGGGGGAACTCCAGAAAGTTGGAATATGGATTAGTGGTAGGATACCCTGTAATTTACCTTAAAGGGGCTACGATAATGATATTCCAACTTTCCGGCTTCTACTGTAAGCCCGAAAACCTAAGAGACAAGAGGGACCCTAGCAGGCTCTAGCAGGTCTACACACGACAGGCCCAAGACCCAAGGCCCAAACCAGCAACAGCGGAAGTGGCATAAGACATCCTGACCTTCGTTCATGTCCGGGCGGACGGCGGTCTTGTCCCTTGGCACCCCGTCCGCAAACTTGCCTTTAGTTCAATCTTGATCGCGACTTTGGGCTTGGGATTCATGGGTTGGGTTTCAATTTGTAGATCCTGGTTGTGGGGTTTTCAGAGATTTTTAGCGACATCTCCTCCCTCTTTCTTTCGCCCACCGTTTGTATCATTCTCCCACCTACCATCGAAAGTCCGAGTGAAGTTGGCACTGTTGGACACTTGCGGTTTCTACATCACACGGCATTTCATGCTTGCATCCACAGACTCGAAGCACTCCAGCTGTAGCCAACACCCGTCAGATGACCCTAACGCTCCACAGCCCTAAGCAGGCACCCTGCCTGCAGGCGAATTTCCGATCCCAAAGCAGACATCACTTACATGTGTGCAGCTTTGCAGGGCTATTATACCTATAGTCTCCATTGTAGTTCCTTTTTTGGTTTAACCAATTATATATTAAGGATCCTATAAGGTAACCCAAAAAAGGAACTACAATGGAGACTATAGGTAAGGCCCTCAAGTCCAAGCCCAACACCTGCATGGACGGTAAACATGGGAGTTTCCGAAAATTCGGGGTACCTTATTTTGGGGTCCTTATAATAAGGACCCTACAATGTAGGGTACTATATTAGGGTCCCCACATCAAGGCTCTCTTGGTACAGGCGCCCTAACCAAGCAACCAAAACGGAAGATCGAGAACTCCCAAAGCTCTAAACCCTGAAACACAAGCAACCAAAAGCAGGCTTATAACTAGGATGCCCAGTAGTACCCTTATTCCCTTTTTGTAGTCCTAGGTTCCTTATACAGTTACCCAGTGCCAAAAGGGGAGGCCTTTTTATTCTTAGGTTACTGGGTATCCTATATTATTTCGAAGCATCCTGAACATCACAAAACCCTAAATCTTACAAGCCTTACACCCACCCTACCTGCCCCAATCGGCAGGCAGAATGGACCACCAGAAACCTTACACTCCGGCTTAAAGCGGGAACAACCCCGCCCCCTGAAAAGTGTAGTGCATCTTTCGGCTTCTCAGAGCTATTCCAAGGCTGATGGCGCGTCCCAAGCGCGAGGGCGGAGTGCGGGGTTTCTCTTGGAAACCTCGGGTACCTTGGCTCCTTAAGGCATAATGCTCATACGGAGTTCGGGGATGGGTTTCGTGATGCAGCTCTTTTTTAAAAGTCCTTTCGAGGATTTCTTGGCAAGGAGCTTGGAAAGGCCTTAAAGTTTAGGATTCAGAGGAGTTCTCCGCCGGCTTTAGACGGCGTTTGTTGGTTTCAGGGTTTTGTGGATTGGGTTTGGGGGTTTGGGCTGTTAGAGAGGGTGGGGAAGTTCAGATCTCTTGTGGGGGGAGGGCGGCGGTAGGTTTGTGGATTGATTAAGGTCGACCTTGTTTAGCTTCAATTAAACTACCCTTTTATGGGGAGTCATATGAGGAAAGCTGAATAAGGAGCCCTACAGAGGAAGGGTACATATTTCAGGTAATTGTAGGGTTTTATTGAATTTTTTGGGAGGGGGTTTGGGTGTTCCTGCTTGGGGACGCGCAAAGCGTCAACCGTGAAGCCGATAATAAACCCTAGAGGCCCTAAACCCCAAAACCACCAAGAAAGCTATGACCCTAAACAGGGCAAGGGCGTGATTCAAAGGGAAAAAGGAGGGACCCTTAATGGGGACCCCTACCCTACAATGGGCTAAATTAATGAGTATATAATAGCTATATTAAGGGTATATCCCTGAGGGTCCTTATTAAGGGTCCCTCCTTTTACCGTTGGAGTGATTCAGCAAAAAGGCTAATTATGTTGAGTTTAGGGTTGTCTATGTGTTGCAGGCGCACAGCGTCGGAGACTCTTTCAAGAGCCAGAGAATCTCAGGTCTCATGTGGCCACATTACCCTAGGCTCCATGGTAGTTCCGTTTTGGGGTTCATACTTGGAATCCTATAAGGTAATCCCAAAAAGGAACTACTATGGAGCCTCCGGGTAGAGCCTATGCAAGGCTTGATGAGAAACCTCCAGTGCCACTACTGGGTTCTGATTAAGACCCCTGTACAACTTAATTTTGTAACACCCAAAAGGCCTAGTTCAAGATAGGCCCCTAAAGTCTTAATCAATGGGGGTATGAACAGTAGCATCCCATAGTCCCGACGCCCCAAAGCCCTCTTCTTATCACTGAGGCCCCAAGATTAATCCTAAACCTCAGCCCCAAACCCTAAACCAGACACCTTAGACCGTAAACCCAAACAACAAGCACTAGACCCAAAAGGTGGATCCACCGAGCCCACCTCCCTCGGTTCCTGACCTCGGAGACTTGACAGAGCCAGTTCCCTTCCTAGACGAGGCCGCTTTTGCTTGCAGCGCTTCTGCCTGGTCTGGGTTCGAAACCTAAGTAATTTGTCATACTGCTGATGGACAAAATCCTGCTTTACCCATTATGAGGGATATACCCTAGTTCCCATAGTTTAGAGTCCTTAAGGGGTAATGCAGGATTTATATTATCAACCGTACCACTAGGATTCCTCTGAGCCTCAAGACTCGCCTCGACTTATTGCGGCCCCTATATCAGGGACTCCCAGGGGGCCCTTTGCTTTAAGGGATCTATAGGGTTTAGGGGCTTCCTTTAAGGGATCTATAGAAATCTATATAAACTTCTTTAATCCAAGGGGACGTTGCGGTCTAGGACGGATTTCAGGGATTGGGGCTCGAGCCTCGAGGTGGTTAGGTTCAGGGGTTGTTCTTAAGGTCGTGGGGCTTCGGCCTTTGGGGGTTCTAGATGCTAGGGTTTAGGGGCTTACTTAGCCTATTGGAGAACTTTAAACTTTTTGGCTTTACATATTTGGCCTAGCTTGGAAAGTTTGAACTTTGTTTGGGCTTGGTTATTGGAGAAGAGAGGGGGTGTTCAGGAGCAGCGGGGCTTCGAGCTTATTTCCTACTTTCTGCCAGACCCTATACAGGCCAATGAAGCATGTATCATAGGGACCGCTTCGAAGACCAGAATTTCGTTTCTGCTTCATGGCACTATAGTCTGCCACAAGCCTGAAACCCTAAACAGCAAAGCCCAATCCTCTGAGCGGTAGCCAGGTCTTTGGGACCAGGAGAACGATGTGCTTAGAGGATCGGGCGAAAGCAAAAAGCAGCAACAACAGTAGTCTTCGCAATATCATTCTTACTCTTAGTCTTTTTCATGTCATAATATTGCTATTATTGGTGTTGTTGTTATTAATATTACTTGATGGTATTTTTATTCTTATTCTTCTTCTAATTATTGCAAGTCCTACGTGCAGGTTCCCTGTCAGCAGCTGCTGGAAGGAATTGATCTGGCCCAGGCCTTCAACGGGATGGGGTTTAGGCTTTTAGGGTCCAGGGGTTTAGGGTATAGGGTTCAGGGTCTAGAGTTCAGGATTTAGGGTTTCACGGGCCGAAGGTGCTGAGTAGGCTTCGGGGATGTGTTGCAGTTTCCTTGAGTGGGATTAGAGAGGATGTTCTTTGCGAAAGTTGCCCAGAGGCTCTAAAAGGACAACTCAAAAGGGTTTATGGATGGATTCGGGGGTTGAAGGTTCGAAATTGGGGGTACTAGGGTTCTGCTCCCCAAGTAAACTTGCACAGACCGGTGCTCTACAGTCTCTGTAGAGCCCAGATTCGGAGACCCTTCACACTAGATCCTACCTAGAGTCTCCATTGTAGTTCCTTTTTGTGGTTACTTTATAGGATCCTGATTATATATTTAGTAAAACCAAAAAAGGAAACACAGTGGAGACTGTAGGTAGCGCCCTAAACCCAAAACCTCAAACCCTAAGACCTAATCTAGGATGCCCAGTAGTAGTACCCTTATTCCCTTTTTGTAGTCCTAGGCTCCTTATAAAGTTAACCAATACCAAAAAGAGAGGCCTTTTTATTCTTAGGTTACTGGGTATCCTAATAGAAGCCCTCGGAGCCCTCCACCCGAAACCCCTGCGCTAAACGAGGCCATTGAAGCCCTGAACCCATGCTTGGAGGGTCGGCGGACTTAGTAAGTGGCTATTTTGGGGACTTATAAGTACCAGAACCCCAATGAGGGTCCCTTTTAGGGTACTTATACGTCTACTTACTACCTACTTACTAAGTCTCTGAACCCTAAACCCTAAATACTACCCTTATAGAGCCCTTTAAAGGAACCCTTAGAATCCCCTTTAAAGGAGCCCTTACTAAGTCCCTCGACCCTCCAAGTGGGAGGCCCAGCAGCTCTACAATAGTCTGACGGAAGAGCAGAAGGCCCCGGGCCAGTGGATGCTTGTAGGGTTTCAGGGTTTTAGGGTTTAGGGTTTAGGGGTTTGAGGTTTAGGGTTTAAGGGTAGGGTTTAGGGTTTAAGGGTTTAGGGGTTTAAGGGTTTAAGGGTTTAGGGGTTTAGGGTTTAAGGGTTTCGGGGTGTAGGGTTTAAAGGGTTGGGGTTGAGGGTCTAGGTTTTCGTGCTGGGCCACTGTGGCCGTCAGCAGGTTCGAGGTTCGTCATCTTCCCAGTGCCCATTCATACCAGGCAAAGTAGGCTAGAGTCTGAACATATCCGGCGCAGCACGTGAATCCACACGTACTTGCATTTATGCACACATGCACGGCATACATACCTGCATGCATGCATGCATGCATGCGTGCATACAGATGCAGCTTTCTCGTTCTATATAATTACGCATGTTTTCCTGGGCTGTTTCGGCTGCCAGCACTGGCAAAATGAGTTTTCCATGCGTCTCGATGTAGTTCGTCTCCCACTGTTTCGACGCGTTCAGCCGGTCAAACTAAATCAAGAAGCTCAGGGCGTTCTGCAGGATAGTAGATTACATACAGTAGAGTATAAATTAGTACAGTATATTATGGCATAGAATAGCACCCGAAATCCTAACCTTGCGGGGGTTTTGGATTTAGGATGGTGCAGATATCGGTGCTGCATGTCGGCCTCGGTCAAGACGATTGTGGGTCGTAGACTGGCTAGACTTGAGTCCAGTGGCAAAAGGGATGGTGCAGATGGCCTAGAGGTTTGAAATGTCATGTCGTTACCCGGCTCGGGAGGTAAGGGTTTAGGGTTAGGGGTTAAGGGATTATGGTATGAGCTTGGCCCAGAAGAGCTGTTAGCAGATATTTCCCGGGTCTCCCTCGAGTTCGCCTCACGGAATCAATCCAGGTTCGGTCCGAGATCTGAGAGTGGAAACCGACTCCAATTCCGCTGCCCGAAGCCAAAACCTGGGTTCTTGCCAATCAGGAAGACATTTCATCCACTTGCGGAATTAGTTTTAGGCTGCCATAAGAGTAGGAATCATATCATTTACGATGTATTCCTTTTGTAAAATGGATAAACTTTAAACTCCTCCGCAAAAGCTCAGAAACACAATTCGAGGACCCTTATTTCACAGACTCAAGTCTCATATGGTAGAAGCCAGGAAGTTGGAACATCATTATCCCCATGCCCTTAAGGTAAAGTATAAGGGATCCTGGCACTAATCCTCCTAAAGCCATGTTCCAATTTTCTGGCTTCTACTATAACCTTCTGAACCTGGGTTCCTGAGTGACACCCTTTTGCCCTTTTTGGTATACTGCGGCTTTCCTAAAACCGAAGAGTGGGCAAAAGGGTACCCTCATTATAAAGGGGCTACTCAGGAACCTAGGAACTGTTGGTCAGGGAGCTTAGGTTTGGAATTTGCGGCAGTTCCGATTCGGTATTTAGAATCCCGCAGTAGCCCCAGATCGAGCAATTACTATACACTACTCAGATCTCTCAAAAGCCCTCTTGCTAACTACCCCAAACCCTAAACCTCTAAACCCCCCTAAACCCCTAAACCGCCCCCCCCCCCCCCGAAACGCCCCAAACCCTAAACCCTAAACGGTAGCAGCCAGACTCTCTAAGCCCTGCCTGCGTCAGCGAGTGTGCGTGTCGAAACCCCTGAACCCTTAGACTCTTCAGCCCTCTACGTTGGCAGGAGCAGCTGGCTGCACAAGGAATTGATCCTCGGGGCTGCTTCGAAGCCACATCCTTTGATACGGATCCTCGGCAGCCGAAGGTTTAGGGCCAAGGGTTTAGGGTTTAGGGTCCAGAGGTTGGAGAGGTGAAGCCCGGCTTCCGATCAACAGGTCTGGCGCTTCGAGAACCTGTCTGAGAGAGAGCGAGAGAGAGAGAGAGAGCGAGAGAGAGAGAGAGAGAGAGAGAAAGAGAAAGAGCGAGGGTTTAGGACATCGGTCTCAGTACGGGTTTAAAAAAGGGTTTAGGGTTTAGGGGAATCAGTAGCTCGGGGTTTAGCTTGGCAGCCGAATCACTATACTGGTTGGATGTTCTTGGATCTCGGTAGCCGGTTTCAGAAAGCTGTTCGACCATGTGAACGACCACGACCCCCGTTAAAACTGTAGTGTGAACTCTTCTCCCTGGTGCTTAGTAGGGAATCGAGGAATGGATCCTTATAGTAGTCGCCGTGTAATCCCCAAGAATAGTCGCCATCATCCACTCCCTACTAAGCACCAGGAGTCAGCATCAGGGAGTCTTGTTTGCCTGGCGAAGTGAGCAGCAAAGGATCTGGACGAGGGCCCTCCGACGCTTGCCTCCACTTACCGCCTTCAGATACGACCTTGCGATTTGCTAATACGATGTACTATTTGTGGGTTGGATGTAGGGGTCAGGGCTTATCGAGTTTAAAAGTAAGGGGGTTGTTAAAATAATGTTAGAGGATCTGCGACTTGCGCCGGAGCTTTAGGATTCATGTGGGAGTTTTCGAAAACAAGGGGTACCTTATTTTGGGGGGTCCTTATAATAAGGATCCTATGCTACTCAGGGTACTATATTGGGGTCCCCCATCTTTTCGGAAAGCCCCATGTGCGACCTTGCATCGGCAGGTTTGCGGCTTGAGGCCGACCTTGGGGTTCGAAGGTTGGTCGCTGCAGCACGTAGGGCGGCAGGGTGGCTGTGTTGCACATCAGGGCCCAGATGATAGACACCCCCCCAACTGTAAGTAATGCACTTCCTCAGGGGGGTTACTTAAACACATCTGCAGATTTCGCGTGAAAAGTGACCATAGCTGAAAAAGTTAACGATTGCGAGTGCCGATTGTCGGAAACATTTTGACATGTAATTGAAAAAGCGGTCACCATGGTTAGTCCTGTACATGATCCGGGCGGTCCTTGTGTATATTGGATGCCCGGAAGTACACCACTCTTGTGCAGGCAGGTGGAGGTATAGGTAGAAGCGGGCCAAAGGGTAGGTAGCGGCATAGGTCTACGCTCAGGTCTAGGCATAGGTCCACGCTCAGGTCTAGGTGTGCATGCGAATACGCATTTCAACACATATGCCAGTGTATGTTGTCTGATGTTTATGTCATGTCTTTACAGTCTGTACGCATAGATACTTCCGGGCGTTTGTTTGCACAGAGAAAGGAGATCTATGATGCGGTTGCGCACATGTATCTCCCGTCGACAAGTGCTTTGCGAAAGCCTAGCCCGAACCCAAAACTACCCCGAGTCTGGAACAGATGCTGCCGTGAATTATCGACAAGGGTCTAGGGCTAGGGCTTGGGGTTTAGGGCTTAACACGAAAGGCCGTGATGCAAGGATCTTGTTAGTCCCCAAGCGCAGTGGCAAACAAAAAAGGGCGAGGGCTTAAGGTCAACCTTGAGTTGGTCTAGGATACAGGACAAGTAGGTTAGGGTTACTCATTGTCAGGGTCCTAAGAAGGAGGGGAGGGTTTTCAAGTAGGGTGGCCCATATCCTGAAACTCTCATTCGGGAGACAATTCGGTGTGCAAAGGAAAGAGATAAACCATCGCTTATTGCCAATGCATATCAACTTGAGCCTTCTACGAAGCGATCTGAAATGCAGCCTCCAATCCTGCAGGTATGTTGAGCTCACCGGAGCCTCTGCTGCATAGTGATTGTCAGAACCCATTGTGCCGTTTGAAGCATAGGCAGTGCAAATGGGTGCGTTATGGGCATTTTATTAGACTGGAAGTCGTGGGTCTGAACACACTACCCAGAGGCTCCATGGAGGTCTGGACCCTTGAACCTACCCTTTGAGACCTTTTAGAGTTTGCTGCTTGGGAATTCTTCTTATAGGTCCTGAAGGACGCCCTACCTTTTTTCAAGGTTTTATGGTGCCTTGTTGTGAGTTTCCCATGTAGTCTGGGGGTCAGGTTGATCAAAATACCCTGCCGCCGACATCGGACTCGACTGAGCGCGCTTTAAGCAAACAAACTATCCTTGAAGCCCACGAACATGGCGTGGGTTAGGTTGGCTTCAGGCTTCGGATTTAGGGGTTAGGGTTCAGGGCAGTTGAGGCTTTAGGGGTTTGGGACTGTAGGGTTCATGTTGAGGCAATTTCACGGGTGTTAGACAAATAACCTGCAGGGCCACTCCCGAGAGGTGTAGATTTCCTAATTTCAAACCTCAATTCCGGAAGCCTCACAGCCCCAACTTGTAAGCGTGTAGCCCGTAAACTCTTTAACAACACAATCCTGGAGCCTAGACATGTTGCGCCCAAACGAGTAGGTCAAGCCATACACTTGCAGGAAATCCTCTGGCCATGGACTCAAGACAAGTCCGGGCGCTTTCCAAAGCACTCCGCGGCAAGGCGCCCATGAAACCGGGCCGCACCTACTTCCGAATTTTGAGAGACTGGAATGTGCCTTGCAAAGTTTCGGGCTGGAGTCGTTCACGAGGTGTTGATGCTGAGAGGTCAGAATCACGACGAAGTGCCTATGAAGTTGTTCTGGTCACTGGTGTAAGCTATTCTGGTCTGCAGGGTCTTGTGCCAAAAGAGCGACGAAGCAGTTTCGGTAGAGGTGTTTCGCTTACACTTGCTGCGTAACTGGTGTGTGGGAAGCCCATGCATGATTGTGCCGGTTCTTCCAGAAGTGCATAGAAGCGAGCGAGCCAGAAACCGTTACACCCCAACACCCTGAACCCTCAACCCTTAGCTTGAACCGTAGACCCTTAACCCTACGTGAAAGCTCTCATCGCTAAACCTCAACACCTGATGTCAGACCCTCGACCCTAAACCCATACACTCCAGGTCTTGCCAGGCTTGTCCAAGTTGTAAGTGCTGAAACCCTAAACCTGAAAAACCACAAGCCTCTACACTTATATAAACCCCTGCATCCCTTAGCAAGCCTAACCCTAAGGGTCCATGCACCCAAATAGTATATACTATGGGGCCCCCCAATGTACCTTTAGGGAGTACTTTACGGCCAAAGTATATACTATTTGGGTACATGGACCCTTAGGGTAGGTTTCTGAACCCATCAAGCCCGACACTGAGCCCAGGTACTCTTCGGAGAATCCCAGGAAATTCTAAACCCTAAACCCTTGTAGTTAGGTGTCACCGGCACAGCTTTGTCAACCGTTGTCTCGAAGTTACCCTGCAATGCGGGCGTCGTCCTTGCTGGGTAGGAGGGAAAAACCCAAGACTCTTCATTCTGAGCCGCTGGCTGAAGAAGGCTGAAGGTTCAAGTGCCCGAGTTAACTTATGCTAAAATCCTCTAGCATTGCATGAATCTCAGGAAATTCTAAGCCCTAAACCCTAAACTCTTCAGAGAATCCCAGGAACTTCGAAACCCGACACCCCAGTCTCCTCGGAGACTCCCAGGAAGTTCTAAACCCTAAACCCGACACTCTTCAGAGAATCTCAGTAAAATCTAAACCCTAAATTCCTCAGAGAATCCCAGGAAGTTCGAAACCCGAAACCCTACACTCTAAACCCTAAACCCTAAAATCCTCAGAGAACCCTAGGAAGTTCATGACCGACGCCTACAGCCGCGTGCGGCATTCGGACCCCGAGTCTCCTATCCATGTGTTGCTCCTCGGCGGCCTTTGTAGTCTTCGGGGTTTAGGACAGGGGTTGTAGAGGTTTTAGGGGTTTAGGGTTCAGGGTTTTAGGGGTTTAGGGTTGAGGGTTTGGGGGTTCAGGGTTGAGGGTTTTAGGGGTTTAGGGTTGAGGGTTTAGGGGTTTAGGACTTAACTTATATCGGGGTTTTGGGGGGTTTAGGGTTTAGGCTCTAATTTACGGGTTTAGGGGTTCAGGGTTTAGGGGTTTAGGGTTTACAATATAGTGGATCCCAGAAAGTTGTAGCATGGATTATGGATGATGAGTGCAGGGAGTCCCTCTTCTTTACTTTTTAGGGTTTAGGGTTTAGGGTTTAGGGTTTAGTGATGTTCCAACTTTATGGCTTCTACTGTAAACTTATCGTATCCCACGCGTCCCTCCCCGAGCACTTGTTTCCCACCAGATTTTCGAGCTCTTGAGTCGACAGGGGACTGCGCTCATGACCCGATGTGCTTTAATTTGTTTGGGTTCTTGTAGTTGTAGTTATCCAGAAGTTTGACCTTTCATTTCTGTAAGGGCTTAGGGTCTAGGGTCTATGATGAGTAGGGGTCCGGATGCATGGATCGAGGTTATGGATTAAGCTTACGGCTCGTCGAGGGCTTTATGTATGCCCAGGGTTTTGAGAAGTTGGTTATTTTGTACAGATGCTGCCTCTGGAGGTCCAGGCCAGCATTTCAGCGCAAGGAGGAAGCTCAACGAGTTGGCCTAGAAGTTAGTTTGGAGCAAGTTTTGGTTTCAGGTTTGGGACGCTCAAACACTGTGTCGGTTTTGTGTTTAGGGTTTCTCTCACCCCAGCAAAGCCTTTGAGCAACTTATAAGGAGCGAGTGTGGGGACAGTCGCTGTGGTGCACACCGACTTCACCACCCAGAAGTGCGCTCCCGCTTCCGGACTTTCCTGACAAAGACGGTTCGCAAGTCGAGCAAGGACTTGAGCTTTTTGATCCCAGCTGTGGCGGTGGTCGAAGTTAATGTCGAGGGTTTTGAGGGGTATATCATACTATAGTTTTAATTGGCAACCCTCAAAGCCCTATCTTAATTATTAAGGGCTCTACACTACCCTGAAGCCCTGAGCCCTGAGGCTTGCTCATACCGCAAGCCTTAAATCCAGAGCCCATCCTATCCTCCCTGACCTATTGTCTCCATTGAAGTTTCTTTTTTGGTAGCCAGTCCTATGGTCAGGATCCTATATAGTGTTTGACCAAAAACAAGGAACTGCAATGGAGACTATAGGTAGGTCCTAAATCCTAGATGGTTCTGCGTGATGAGCTGGGGAGGACGCTTCGGCGTGGTGGCGAGATGGCCTCATGCGCTTCCTCGGCACATGGCGTTTGTTTCTGAGAAGTTTACTAGGACCCAGAATAAGCCCTTATTCCCTTTTTGTTGGGTTCAGGTTCCCTTATAACACCCTTTATACCAAAAAGGGCACCCTTTTTATTCCTGGGTTACTCTTGGGTCTAGTTTAAGCTTTTGGCTTGGATTTCGTGTTTTGTGTTTGGCTTCGGGTTCAGGTCGCGGGTCGGTTTAAGATTCAGCATCGAAGGCTTTTAGGGCTGGTGCCTGCAAACCTGGTAAGGACTTTAACTTAAGTTACCGATCTGGGTATGTTCTCTACATTAGGGTCTATAAGGGTGCCACGCTATATTTGGGACCTGAAAAATTTGATTTAAAGAATTGTTCATTGTATAATCCAGGAAGTGCACAGAAGAGTTTTGACGTTCAAAGCTGTTCATATCGGGCCGTCCTTCTTCGGTTCCGTCTCCTCGTGCAATGGTGTCTTGTGAGGATTTCCAGGGCCAAGGGCGCTGTAGTATATTTTATAACATTGAATTGTGGTAAGGTATACTATACTAATATAATTTACAAACAATTGGCACAAGCTTATCTATGCCTCAGAGACTTTTGCCCCAGCAAGTCTTTGCTGGTGCCTTTGCCCTGAACCTACGACTACAAGGCCCCCTCTCCTCATCCCCAGAAGCTTAAGGTAAAAGCCAGAAAGTTGGAACATGATTATCCTAACCCTTCCATGGTAAATTATAGGGTATCCTACCATGAAACCATATTCCAACTTTCTGGAGTTCCCTGTAATGCGCCTTCGACACGCCCCAAGCTTCGAGGCATCTATCGCACCAAACCTGGCAGAGAGAGCGCAAAGCAAACTCCTCAAAACCGTGAGCACGACTTCTCCAAAGAAAGAAGCTGCCAGGTTCGTTCCTCTCTTGTGATCTAATATAGGGCCTTAATAATTGGAACAGAGTTTTGGGGCCCATTATACTACAGTTATAATAAGGAACCCCCAAAATCGTATGAATAATTATTTAGGCCCCTATGGTAGGCTAAGGGCTCCCTTGACCAAAGATTTGTGCTGCCCGACGTTGTCCCGAGTCCTTCTTGCTTGAACCCATCAGCACACAGCCCAAACCCAAGCCCGTAGATTCTGGATCTTGAGGTATGCTTCGCTGGGAAGTGGCCATTTGCTTTGGGACTGTGACTGTGCTCAACAACAGGTCGCACTGCAAGAAGTACCAAAGCCTCCGAAGGCCAAGGTGCAACATGTGGGTAGGATATGTTGATCGAGCAGTCATGACCGTAGCTCACCCTGGCCTCGACTTAGATGTCCACATATAGACCTGTAATGCATGCTCGTCGAGTATTTTGCATGAATGCACGTAGGCATACACAGCTGTCGCTTGTTGTCCTGTCCTGAATCGTCAATAGATGGAAGGAAGCTCGCACTCTTCACATGCACGAACAAGAGCGATCGACAAGGAGGTAGAGGCGCAAGTAGTCCAGGCATTTCAATGTCTTGAACCGATCGTACTGGCTTTCTCTGCTTTCAAGTCTGAAAATTAACAGGCTCGGGCGGCTCGGCTAAGGCTTGCCAGCCTGCTTTTCGAATGAGAGCTGATCACCAAGCTACCATGGTCACAACCATGTGTTAAGCAAACCGTTCCTATTATTCGGGCAACAACAGCAGGCTCGCAATACACGCGCACCATCTGCGAGTTTCAGAAAATCGGGGACCCCAATAAAGTACCGTAAATAGTAGGATCCGTTTTGTAAGGATCCCAAAATGAGGTACCCCTATATAATTTTTAGCCACTAGATCCCTTATAGGAACCCTTAAACGGAACCCTTAAAGGTACCCCTAAGTTTCGGACCACAAGCTCCTGCCAAGGCGAGATATTGGATCGCATGCGAGCGGAAGGTCTCGCCGCATGGCTCTGGTTTAGCGTTTAGGGAATAGGAACGGGGCCTGCTGCAAAAAAGGGTATGGGGTTTGGGGTTTAGGGTTAAGGGTTTAGGGGTTTAGGGTGGGCATCAAAATAGCCCAAAATCCTTAATATATGAGTGCTTAGAGGTCTAAGGGAAAAGGCCCCTCCACGCTACATCTTTGTGTTTGCGAGCTAAGTGTTTAAACAGCCGGGTGTAGAGTCCGTTTGTCATACCGCCACACAGGGCTTCTCTTGTGCTTATGCAGTGCTATCTTTGACGAGCCTTCCAGTAGCAAATTATCAAAGCCCATTGCTCTCAAGTTGTGGATACGTCAGGGTTGTGTCGCAACACTCGTCAAGTTACGAGAGGCAGTTTGCATGTGGGTAGTTCTCTAAATTGGAGTCACTCTGCAGGTCCCCAAAGCAGCAGTGTACCTCCAGGAAAAGGGCCTTTAAAGCAGCGCAACCTCGGGATGCCAGCGTCAGAACTTAGTGTTTGTCGTTCTCTCCTAGGTTTTAATGACACTATCAACCCCAAAGGGTCCAAGTATCATTATGGTATATACTTATAGGGTAGTTTGGGGGTCTAAGTATGTACCACAATGATACTTGGACCCTTTGGGAACAGTTCCCAGGCCTTCGCAAGGAGCCTTGGTAGTCCAGGCTGTGTAATCCTGTGCTGCTGGCACTTAGGCTTAAGCGGCAGGCGATGGTGTTCTGCTGGTCTAGGTTGGGCTGGCTTGGAGAGCAAGTCGTGACTAGAACCCCAACGCTGCAACGAAGATTGTCGTTCGAGAACACCAGAAGTCTATAACTCATGAACATATTTCCCACGCCGTATCATTGCTAGGGACATTTGGAGGATTCCTCAATAGTCTTCAGAGGGACACTGGAGTGGCTCGCCCAGGAGATCCGACAAATCTGCTTGATTGACATGGCATATGCCAAGCCGGACGACATCACCCTACTGGTCCTGCAAACTTTTGCCGACTGGCAGGCCCGTTGCTGCGATGCTCCACTCGCCATCCGCAATTTCAGATGTGAGAGGTCTCTTGAAGCAGCGGCAGTCTCGCCCTAGATTCCAAACTTGTGCGCGTTTTTGGCTACTACGTATAGCTCCGCGTAATGGGATGCGGCCAGAGACCATAATAACCACTTTCAACCCCAATTAAGGTACTTATAACCGTGCTTACTCAGAAGTAGGGTTTAAATCAACGAGAACATCCTGACAGCTTTGGACTTTGCTGCTGGGAGAGAACTGGCCTGTGGATTCTGGGTGGAAGCCTTGCCTTTCGGTTTTCGTACTGCGGTTGATGATATAAATCCCAGGGTTTCTTTAAAGGGATCTATAAGGCTACCTTTAAGGGGTTCCTTTAAGGGATCTATAGGGTTTGAGGGTTTAGGGTGATGTAAATCCTGCATTTCCTTAAGGGCCCTAAACTATGGGAATTATGGTATTTTCCTTCTTATGGGTCATGCAGGATTTATATCATCATCCGTAGTATAGAGCCCCTCCCCTCACCCAGTTTTGAAGAAATCACCAATTCCTCGGCCCCAAGGCCAAAGCTTAAGTGCCCAATCCTCATCCGCTATATGCGAAACACCCCGAGCCAGAACCAGTAAAGGGAACTCCAGAAAGTTGGAATATGGTTTCAGGGTAGGCCAGAACCAGTAAAGGGAACTCCAGAAAGTTGGAATATGGTTTCATGGTAGGATACCCTACAATTTACCATAGAAGGGTTAGGATAATCATATTCCAACTTTCTGGCTTCTACCTTATATGCGAAACACCCCGAGCCAGAACCAGTAAAGGGAACTCCAGAAAGTTGGAATATGGTTTCATGGTAGGATACCCTACAATTTACCATAGAAGGGTTAGGATAATCATATTCCAACTTTCTGGCTTCTACCTTATATGCGAAACACCCCGAGCCAGAACCAGTAAAGGGAACTCCAGAAAGTTGGAATATGGTTTCATGGTAGGATACCCTACAATTTACCATAGAAGGGTTAGGATAATCATATTCCAACTTTCTGGCTTCTACCTTATATGCGAAACACCCCGAGCCAGACCCAGTAATCGGTAAACCCTACGCCCCAAGCGAGCACTGGGAGCACTGGAGACGAGAAGACGTCCCCCACAAGATAAACAAAGAAGGTCCCTTAAGGGTCCATGTACCCATATAGAGATACATGAGCCCCAAAGTACCTATATAGGGACTACATTAAGGCCAATGTATATACTATATGAGTACATGGACCCTTAGGGGTCCTGAATCCTTAAGTGGACTACGTATGGGGAGCCTTGCCTGCCCTGTGCGAGTGTGAGCGTCGAAACACTATACCTAAACCCCAAAGCCTCTGCAGCCTCTGGGAAAAAGGAGCTCAACTAAAAGGCAGGAAAACATATGGGAGCTTCCGAAAAATACGGGACCCTAATTTCGTACCCTGGATAGTAGGATCCTCATTGTAAGGACCCCAAAGTAAGTTACCCCTAAGTCTCGGAAACTCCCAAATCCTCAAGCCCTAAACCCTATAGATCCCGTATAGGAGCCCTTAAACGGAACCCTTGAAGGATCTCTTTAAAGGTACCCCGAAGTTTCGGACCCACCCTGTTGTGGGAGTTAGGATTACGGGGACCCTTGCGGATGTAGACCCTCTTAATAAGGCCCCTTTTAAGAGAGCCAGAAGTAGGGTTTAGAAGGGGTACCCTTTAAGGGGTCTCCCTAATAATACTACCTAAGTTGCAGGCCTCAGTCGCTGACCTCTGGGATGAGCCAGCTCCACAAGTGCTCGCCTTCGGTAGTTCTCAGGCCAAGGGTTATGGGTAAGGGTTCCTCCAAGGGTCCCTTTAAGGGGGTCTATAGGGATTCTACAAGGGTATAGGGTTTAGGGCCTTATACCTATAGTTTCCATTCTAGATCCTTTTTTTGGGTTAATCAAGGTTAGGGTCCTATAATAGAGATTTCGGTTAACCAAAAAAAGGAACTACAATGGAGACTGTAGATATAGAAGCAACTACCAAGAATGTTCCATCAGGTTTCTTGTTTTTTTCTCCTTCAGGTTTCTTGTTTTTCTTATGAGTGAAGGAGACCAAAAGCCATCTTCTATTTGTTGAGGCCCTACATCATGCCCCAAATAGCCTGCCTTTCGAAGGTTGTAGGGCTTAAGTAGAATTGCTTTATGATAACCGAGAGGATCAGAGCACCTAGTAGGAAAGGTATACGTGGGCCGTTACAAGTACTAGTTGGGCTTACTACACATAGGTCAGTCACAACTCTGCTTAGAATCCACTTGCTGAGCCCCTTGAAGTATGATGACCAGCGACTACGATACAGAAGAGTTGCAGGCTTCAGCACACATGCATATGCAGAAAGAATGTGCTGATGTGCCGCGCAAGCAGCACTCTCGATTTGACAGGGCTAGGCAGAACCCCATTTTTCGGTCGAGCGGTATTCCCGTTCACACGGTACTTCTGTTGCTCGCAAAATGACAGAACTAGCTTCTCCCAGAATCCATCCTGACATGCATGATGCCGGAAGCCTGCGATTTCAGAGCCCTGCGTGGAGCTAACCGCCAGACAGGCCTACTTCGAGCACTGCGGCCCAGGCGGATTGTCTATCAGCAACGTAGCAATGATTCGACTCTTGTTACTGCCTTATAACGTATAAACTCCTAAACCCTAAACCCCGAAGCCCGAAACCCTACAGCACCAAAACTCAAAGCCATTGTATCATGGCAACATATGATTTGCTTTGGGGCGCAGTTTTCCTTCCTTCAAGCAGTGTTCGTGCAAAGTTGGCTGTGGAATCCTTTTTCTTCTTGGAGCAGCAGGTACGGGATTTTTGGTGCTGGGTTTGAATTAGCCTTTTTAGCAGCATGTCAACAACCACAACCTAACCCCAAACCCTAAACGGCGCCAAACCCCAAACCCCCAAGCCCTAAACCCCTAAACCCTAAGCCCTAAGCCCTGTGGGAAACTGCTTTCGGACTCGTAGCGAGGAGGAAAAGGGCCGTTCAAAAAAAAAAAAAAAACCCTAAGCCCTAAACCCCAAACCCTGGCCTTCGGCAGGCGGAGTTGCAGCTGGCTGCAACCTGTTCATGCACTGCGATGCTGCGTGGCAAGGCTCCGACGAAGAATGCGCCTCCGATGACTTTAGGGTTTAGGGTTTCGGGATGCCACGAGTGCAGCATCAGAGCCGACATCCAGGCGGGCATATACAAGTCTGCCTTAACTTAGCCTACCAAACCCTACTTTTTTGTAGGTTCTTATTATGAACCTCAATATGGAATTTATAGGGACCCTACTTTTTGTAGGGTTTGGTAGGTTAAGGTGTGCAAAAGGGATATTTAGGTCTAACCCTGAATCTGTCAGACCCTGCAAGCCCGATAAACCCTAATAACCCACGACTAGAAGTACTGGCTTAGCAATGGGTTAGCACGCTCGAGGATGACTCAGCCCTACTTTTCTGAGTGCAAGATTGGTCCCAAGCGTCCACCGGTACTTCCTCGCATCGTGCAGATTGCATCAGCAACCAGCATTGGCTGCTGCTAGTGGCAGTGCTGGCTGCAACCCCAATGTACATACATCGCCGGTGTGAGATAAGTCGAATCTCATGTTGCACCTTCGCAGGAAAGACGAGTGGGCGAGCCACAGGTACAGACATGGGCCCAAGCATGCAACAGACGATATGGGCATGTCCATGACACGTCCACAGCAAAGCAAGCTGTGCGACCGCCGAGCCTAGTTTATACAGTGTTGTTGGTGTTTCCCATCCGTTAGTTGCGGACTAAAGACATGTATAATGTATCGGACTTCAACTACCCACCAAAACCCTCGACTTCGAGGTCCCAAGGTAACGCCCTCATATGCATGTGAAAGCCCGTAGGTGTATACATACCTACATGCATGCATACAGACAGACGGACCTACAAACAGACGTACGTAGTACACCAGACCGCCCCTCTGTGTTGATGATTATCGTATAGATACTTTTGTACCAAGTCGTCTCAGAATTCTAAGCTCAGGAAGTAGACTTTGTAATTGACACGCACCCTTTACCGCCTTAACCCTAAACCGATCCTAAACCCTGAGCCCTACGGTTGATGATATAAACCCTGCATTACCTTAAGGACCCTAAACTATGCGAATTATGGTATATTCCTTATTATGGGTAATGCAGGGTTGTTTACATCATCAACCGTAACCCTACAAGCCCCAAACCCTGAACCCTAAAACCCTAAACCCTAAAACCCCAAACCCCACACCCCAGGGAACCCTCAAACCCTAAACCCTCAGCCCTAACCCCAAAAGCCCCAAACCCTAAACCTTAAACCCTAAACTTCACCTCCCTGGAAGTGACCAGGCATGCGCTTGGCGCAGAAGGCCCTGGTCTCCACCGGCCCCTCGTGCACCGAAAGCCGGGGTTTGAGGGTTTTTTGGGGTTTGGGTTTCGGGTTTTAGGGTTTTAGATTTTAGGGTTTGGGGTTTTAGGTTTTTGACGCTTCGAGTGCCTGTGAGAGAGAGAGAGAGAGAGAGAGAGAGAGAGAGAGAGAGAGAGAGAGAGAGAGAGAGAGAGAGAGCGAGCGTTTAGGGTGTAGGGTTTGGGGTTTCAGGGTTTACGGTTTAGGGTTTAGGGTTCCGTGTACGGGTTGCTAACAGCTGGTATGCCCTCGCGAGGGCATGCTATCCCGGAAGGTACTGCACCCAAGGACCCACGAAAGTTCTACACCAGGGCTGACAGCGGCTCCTTTTCAAGCTACCAATGCCACCCAGAGACAGAAGTACTGCACGGACGGAGTGCTTTACGCAACTGCGCCTATCGACTTCCCAAGTTTGCCCGGAGCTCTTCATCACCATCGTTTCAACGATTGCTGAAATGCAGACACACAGTGCTCTGGACTCCATGCAGACCGCGTGGTCATCATAACCAGCATCATCGCTGGCAACAAATTTTGTTGTGACCGCTGACGATGGCATCAGCACCCTCTATCCCGCATGATCACCATCATCATCAGCAGTGGCTGTAGCTGCAACATCCTCACCATTCTTGCCACAAAGATGAGCAACTCTGAGCCCCAATCCTAAACACTCAAACCCTAAACCGCGCGAGTGTGAGCGCCGAAACCGTTTGGGCCCTGCACTGAAGTGCTGGCCCGGTCTCATGCGCCCAGGCTTGTTAGCTCGCCTCAACAACTTGGGCAGCAAGATCGTGCCCGACGAGATGCTCCAGCAGCCTGCTCTTCTCATACGGACCCTTAGGGGGCTTGGGGGAGGGGGGGGGGGTTGCCCAAAATGAGGACTCTGTGATCTTCTGAGTTTGGATTTAGGTTTTACTGTCTTGTTCTTAGTAGCCTTGTTCTGAGTAGGGAATGGGTAAGGTCCCCTTTACTAGTCCCAGTAACCCATTCTCCCATTCGCCACTAAGAACCAGACGGTTTAGGGGTTTAGTCTTTTCGGGCCTTGCTCCTCTGAATTCTGCTTCAGGGCTGGGAAGGCCGGGATGTTCCAAGCCTGAAGCCCTCACCTAAACCGTGGCTTATAAGATCTAGGGCTTAGTTTCAGGGAGAGAGTTTTGAGGGAGAGAGTTTTGGAGTTCGGATTCTATTTCCGACCGCCAGCACAGCTTTTTTTGTCGATTTTTCGGGCTTGCTGAGACCGATGGCAATCGTGGAGTTTCGGATGTCACCTTCGGCACCCAGTCCAGGCGTTCATATTTGGGAGTTTCCGAGAATAGGGGGGGTTACCTTATTTTGGGGTCCTTATAATAAGGATGTTACTATTTATATAGGAGTACTATATTAGGATCCCCTATTTTCGGAAACTCCCATTTGTAACTTAGATATGGACGGGGAGCGCTTGCAGCTTTCTTGCCTCAAATGGGTGCCCCTTTTGGGTTCCTGTTATAGTACGGCACCTAATATTTAGGGTACCCAAAAAGGGACCCTAATTTTGTCAACTACCCAAATGTGTGAACTGTCTTCAAAAGTGTGAACGTTTTATGGGGCTGGGTATTGAAAAAGAGAGAGTCGGTAGGAGTGTCTTTGCCATGCGAAGCAGAATTGGTGTGGTTGTTCATCTGAAGCACATGCCAGCCTGCCAGTACATCTGCATCGTCTTGCTGCTCTCCTCTCCTAGACTCCTGGGCAAAATCCCTCTCAGCCCGTTCTGGGGGCTTTTGAACATTGAGCTGTTGCAGCTGAGACCCGGAATTCTACATGAAGCATTCGACCCTGTCGGGAGTGTAGTAGGCGCTCAAGGCACTGCGCCCCTGATCCCTAAACCTTCTTTTTGAACTTCACATCTTACCCTAAACCCGAAACTCTAAATCCAAAACCCCGAAACCGAAAGCCCCAAACCATCGCTCTCTGGCACTGAGGAAGGGTCCACAGATGCTCCGAAAATATTGGCAGGTCCAGCAGGACTGAGTTTACGTCGATTTCAAAACTGCCATAGCCTTTCAGGGTTTAGGGTTTATAGGGTTTGGGTTTCGGGGTTACGGGTTTAAGGGTTTAGGGTTTGGGTTTCGGTGTTTAGGGGTTTAGGGTTGCTGCCACAGGCTTCCCTTTTCGTGGATTTTCCTACGGGTCCATGTACACAAGTAGTATATACATTGTGCTCCATGGCCTGCTTGTAAGGCCCCGTTTTGTAGATTTGTCAAGATCCGTTCATGTGGACCTGGCCAGAAGGCAGGTTATGATACTTGAAGCTGCGATTCCTGCTCACCTCTTCCTGCCGGACCCAGGCATAAGCTTCTTTTTTGAATCCGCGTTGCAAAACTTCGGGGGCTTTGGGTTTTGGGATTCAGCGTTCGGGGTTTAGGGTGGGGTCGGATGGGACGATCTGCGCAAGGATGACACGCAGACATCGTGAAGGGTACCAAGGCACAGCTCTGCTTCAGCCCGCAACCCCCAAACCTTGAATGCCAAAGCGAGCGAACTAAATAGCAACCTCTTGCAGTCCCTGCTTGGCTCTACCAGAATATGCCTCAAACCCTAGGCAAAGTATACAGGGTCCTACAAAACCCCAGACATCTAAGCATCAACGCTGGCGCGGGCATATCTCTACTCTACTTTGACAAGTTCATCTCTCGTCCCTGAGTTGATCATGGGAGGCCAAAAGCGGTTTTAGCTTATGGGGCTCAGAGGGATTAGGGTTCCCATACTAGGGTTCATATTAAGGAATCCCTACCCCAAGAATCTTAAACCCCCCCTTTGGCCTCCCATTAGTTGATTTAAAAACGCGGTTGTGTTGCAGGCTTTGTGTTTTTCAGTTCTTTTCTCAGCCCCCGTAAACAAGACAGGAGCACAGCGAAGAGCCGTTTTCTGCTGGCGCTTGGCTGTCGCACGGCGATGGGGATCTTGAGCCATTGAAGGCTGGGGTGTTAGGGGTTTTGTTTGCTTAGGATTTAGGGTTGGGCCCTTGGATGCCCTTGGGGAATTTGGAGTTCAGGGTTGCCTCGAGACTGGATTGGACATGGGCTTGATGGATTTAACGTTTAGGTACTTACAAGGGTTGCTATAAAGACTGTATAAACATGTTCCGCGTATGGGAGCCCTTCAAGACAGAATTGTGACTTCAGAAGAGGAATAAGACCAAGAAGAAAAAAGGGTTGATTCACAGAGTAAAAGTACTAACATGCTTCCGCGATGGGTTCAGTTTCTACAAGGCTTCCTTAAAGATTTGGGATCAACCGCTCTTGACGGCCGATGTCTTGTGGTTTAGGATTTAGGATGTCAGCAAAGGTTTGGGGTCTTGAAGCTGTAGGTCCCGGTTTAGGATTTAGGGTTTAGGATTTAGGGTTTAGGATTTAGGGTTTAGGGTTTAGAGTTTAGGACCAAGGGTTTCAGGGTTTGGTGTTCAGGGCCTTCACCCGGAACCCTAAACCCTAGTCAGACCCTGAACCCCAAACCCTAAATCCTATACCTCGCGACGATGTCCATAGGCTGTCCTCCATCTTCTCTTGCTCTTCCTACGGGTAGCCTTGAACCAATTAGCGCGAGGGTCCTGAATCAGTAGGAATATGTCAACTATAGGGTTTCTGGATAGAGATGCAGTATGACGTACCCCAAGCCCCAGTCCAACTGCGATTTCTGAGGATCCCTGTTCATGTGTTTGCTTTATAGCAGCGTCGTGATTCGGTCTTGACAGGGTGTTATGGAGTTCAATATACCCAGTAATGTAGTGTTCAACAGCTGATTAGGGATCTATGTTGGTATTTGTAGGAAATTGCGCCACTAAGACTTCCTTGCTGAGAGCCCATTCGCACTTTCCTGAGCACTCCTGGATGAAGACTTCTTTGTTCAGGATCCCGTGGTGCTCCAGTATTACCGTGCTGATTATGTTCGTGTTGAATCACTTATGTATGCGATGGGGTGCTGAAGGAAAATCCTAAACCTGAAATTCCCTTAAACCCTCTAAACCCCAAAATCCCCAAACCTAGGTCAAAATTAGGATCCCTTTTTGAGTCCTTAATATAATACGGCACCTATTACTTAGGGTACCCAAAAGATCCCAAAAGGGAACCCTAATTTTGACAACCATCCATGCCTACATAACTCAGAGACGGAGTTCGCGAGAGTCCGACAAGTGGGAGCCAAAAAAAGAGACGGAGTTTCAGAGTCGCTGGGAACAGGACTACTGGCTTGGACTGGATCCAGACGAGAAGGCCCACCTCTCCTTCCCGGATAGGTAGAAGGGTGGTAGGGTTTCGTGCTTTTGGGTGTAGGGCTTTGCGGGTTTTGGGTGTTAGGGTATTGGATTCGTCCTGGCGGAGTCGCAGCAGGCCAGTTTGAAAAAGGGTATTGGATTTTACGTTCTGGTGGTTTCAGGCACCTAGAAGACAGGTGCCTGAACTACCAAAGCCTTTTTTACAAGGGTACTACATGTTGAAGCCGCAGATGAAAATTTTCACAAAACATCAGAGTGTGCTTCAAGTATATTGCTGGGAGTGGCTCATCAGGCACTTCGCAGGCTCTGGGGGTCAGGGTTAAAGGGCATTTAGGGTTTGGGGTTCAACTTGGCTTGGCCTCCACCGTAATCTCAAAGTTTTTCAGTTTCCGGGGCACGAGAAATCTTATACTTTATAAGCCTTAGCCCCTCAACCCTAGCTGCAAGCCCTACAAGCCTCAGCTCGAAACCCTTTAGAGCCCTGGACCCTAAACCCTATAGAAACCCTGAGCGCATCAGCTCTTCCATCTCAGAGACTCCAAGATCCCTTAATAAAGGAAGATTCCTTAAATCATATTATGGATCCTACTACAGTTTAAGGTATATACCTTAATTAAGGGATATTCCTTAAATCATATTAGGGATCCTACTATAATTTAGGGTATATTCCTTACTTAAGGGAGAATGGAGTCTCTGGGATCTCAAGGCCCTTCAGCATCTGGAGACGGACCACCGTTTTAAGCAAGCCGAGCGAGCGAGGGCCGAAGAAATCGGCTTGGACCCTCGGCGTTGTTTCGTGTTTTTCTTACCTTTGATTAGTAGGGATTTAGGGTTTAGGGCCTATATAGTTTAGGGTTTAGGGTTTTACCTTTGGTTAGTGGGGAATGGAGGAATGGGGTACAATTATAACTACTACTACTACTACTACTGCTGCTGCTGCTGCTACTACTACTACTACTACTACTACTACTACTACTACTACTACTACTACTACTACTACTACTACTACTACTACTACTCTTCCATTCCCCACAAACCAAAGGTAAGTTTTGTGCAGGGGTGGGTTCAGGCAAAGGTGTGTTAAGGTTGTAACGGGATGGCATGGGTATGCACTCTTCAACTGCTGTAGAGGGCGCAAAGTTCAAGCAAGGACAAGTGAGGTTTTGTGTGCCAAGACCAGTTTTTTCCAGGCTTGAGAGAGCTGTGGCATTAGGACCGACCAATGTTCCCAATTGCCAGCTACTGTTGCATTCATTTTGCCTCCGGGAACTTACGTTTAACATTCCGGGTAGAATAGGTTTGGCCACCTTAAAAGCTGAATTCCCTCGACACTCTCAATACAAATGCGCTGTCTACAGCGCTCCAGCAGTCTTGCAGGGATTTGCGCAGTCTTCACTTACATCTGCTGACTTCTGAGGACTTAGGAGTCAAAACGCGATAAACACCCTATGAAACCCTATGACACTTCGTGAAAGCCATGTAGTAAACGATAAAGTGCCCCTTGTAGATCTGCTTCCTGAAGCCAGGAAGGTTCAAGCCGCCTGTGAAAAGGATCAGCTGTGGTCAATGACGAGATGCCACCTAAGGTCGGAGCTCTGGTCCCTCGAAAGGCCCACTGCGGCCACCGAAGTAGATGATGTAGGTAAACACATCGCCGAACACCTGTACAAGCTTATTCTTCATACTTTTGGGGGTACGCATAGGGTCTGCGACTTACCGGTGAATCCCCTTGACAACCTCTGGAGCCAATACAAGTGAAGCACACCATGTTTTTGTGTACCGAAGGTCGTTCAGAAACACCCCCCAAATTCCAGCAAGCTCCTACAGGAAAAAAGAAGGAGGCCGGAGGTAAAGCCAAGACAACAATTCTAAATATCCTATTCACTGTAGCTGTACGCCGAAACCCTATTCGAATCGTTCAAGCCCTGACATTCTGTATGCCTTTTGACATCACAGGAAGCTGTTCAGCACGACTGCGACCATGTAAACCCTCTAAGACCAGGAGGACGCCGTATAAAACCCATTCAATACCGCATTACAAACCCTAATTAATGAGTACTAGGCTCCTTGGCATTACCATTCGAGGGTCCCCGTAATTAAACCGAGTAGTAGGAGCAAAAAAGGGGTTCCCTTATTGCAACGGGGCTACTCAGGAACCTAGAGTAAGGCCGATTGTATTCGTGAATCGAAGCAAAGGAAGTTTGGCGAGTGCGGTCCCTGGATCCCGTGAAGTCGCGGGAGGCCCCTGTGATTGACGGCCGAGCTACTCGGTTTATTGGAAAGAGCTTTTAGGGTTCAAGGAATGTTGATGGATTAGGATCTGTTACAAGAGTTTTAGGGCTCAGGTTAGGGTCACTTACAGGAGCTGTAAGGCTTGAGGTCTCTTGTTACAGGAGCTGGAAGGCGTTCAATTTTTATGGTCAGTCTACATAGTGTCTTGCACAATGGTTGGTTTCTGCAGGAACTAAAGATACTTGCCTATCATGCGTGTTTCTACATGTGTGTGCGGGTGTGTGTGTGTGTGTGTGTGTGTGTGTGTGTGTGTGTGTGTGCGGGTGTGTGTGTGTGTGTGTGTGTGTGTGCGGGTGTGTGTGTGTGTGTGTGTGTGTGTGTGAATGTCTGCGAATGTCTGCGAATGTCTGCGACTGTGTTGCGAAATCTGTGTCTCGGGAGAGACATGGCACGTCGACGCCTGCATTGAATGCGGAAAATGTAGCACCCATTAGACACACACACACACATGACTACTCGCTTGCACTGCAACGCTTCGTGTAATCTTTAACTGGCGTTGTTCTCTGCTCTACAACGAAACCGACGAATCCCCAAGGGGCTGATGCCAGAGTCATATATGGTGGGTTTTGTGGTTCGAATGTGCTTGAAATTTACGCTTATGGCTCAGGGTGCACGGATTGCTATTACTCACTGGATCTGTCAGTTTGTGGGTTGCTCTTAGGTTACGGCCGCCTCTTACTAGTCGACGCACTCCTGCAAGCAGCTCATTAAATCCTGAACCCTGCACCCTCAAGAGGGCAGGGTTTCGACGTAGATCCGAAACTATGAATGTTCTGACTCCTGCAAGCCTTCAGTCCTAAGTCTGAGCCACGCATCGAATGTGATTTCCGAAGCCGACAATCCAAATCCTAAACGACGTTGGGGCCCGTGACCCTTTCTTCAAGGGTGCCTTTCAGGGCTCTACCAGGGTACGTTAACGGTTCACAGTTTGGGTATAACAATTACACCCCAAAGCCTTGTTCAAATGATTAAGGTCCCGATGTTGTTTGCAGGATTTGGTTTTGGGCTACAGGATCCCGAAACCCTTAACCTCAATAACCTCGCCTGGCTTATAAGAGTGTGAGCCCCGAAACCCTAAACCCAAAACCCCTAAACCTTCAACCCTCACCTCCTGGCCGACTGGCCTTGCAGCAGTTCGGATGGTCGTGTCGCTGTAAAAGGGGGCTCAAAAAACCTTCAACCCTAAAACCTTATCCCTTCTTTTGTCATTCCGTTCCGAAGTCGGGATCCCACCTCGCAAACTAGTTGTGGTCTCACTCAGCAGACCTCGAACCATCTGCCTCGCCTGGATTGTCGGAGGGTGAGCGCCGCTAAACCCTAAACCCAAAACCGAAAACCCTGTGAGAGCGTAAACCCTTAACACTTAACCCTAAAGCTTTACTCGCAGAGCCCTGAAGCTCTCAAGGAATTCGGAGAGTTCTCGCCCGGAGAAGTCCTCATCGCTGCAGAAAGGCCCCCGACCGGTTTTAGGGTTTCGGGGTTGAGGATTTAGGGGTTCAGTGTTTAGGGTTTGGGTTTAGGGTTTAGGGATGTTTAGTGGAGAATTTCGTGTTGAGGATTTAGGGGTTAAGGGTGTAGGGTTTGGGGGAGGGGGCTGCGTTTCGGGTGCCTGGTTTGAATATGGGTGTGTAGCTGTAGCAATATACTATCCATCTGAGGGCTCCCGAGTTTTGTACTTTAAGTTGGTAGTTCAGGGCTATGCGGTTTTTGGGCTTCGGGTCTCAACCGCAGGCGGTCGAAGCAAAGATGCAAAGCCTCGAAGCGAACTCCCGTTTCCGAGGAAAGGGGACTGGATCCGCATCGCTGCGACGCTGGACCTCTGGGGCGTCGAGCTTCCTTGCTGACGAATCTCTTTAGGGACCCAGAAAGGACACAAGCACAAGCATTTTGTGGGACATCCCTACCTTGTCGGGATTCATTTTATATCAGAAGGGTTTTATGTTGGGACCCTATTCATGGTTAATACAATTTGGTCGAGAGGCGAGGGAATCCAAGAGCTGAACCCTACAGGGAGTTGTGTAGTAGCACATTACGGCTCATGGGGTCCTTGGCTGCTGAAGCCCACATTGCTGACGAATCCTAAACCTTCGACCTCTTTAGACTTTGCCCTCGAGCGTCCACCACAATGACGGCTCTATGCATGAACAGAGAATCTCCGTCTATAGCCACGTAATCATCATGGTATAATGTACCCTTACACCCTAAACCCACCTGGTCTGATTGCTTCGGCCGGCACAGGGTAAGGTGTGTTGGCCAGGACCCCTTAAGCTGCAAACTGCTGAGGATCTAACGGGCGCGGCAGTTTAGGGTTTCAAGTCTGTGCAAAAAGGGATCAGCATCGGATAGAGGTGCACTCGAAAGTTAGTGAGGAAATGCTATAAACGTGGCTACTTCCAAGGACTATCCGGCAATAGAGCAGCTTCAAGAACGATCACCAACATCAATCATACAGATGTTTCATTTTCTGCCGCCCCGGCCAGCGCTGAGTCCCAGTCGATGGTCATTACGGCTAAGTAGTATTATTTTTATTGCACTTACTGTTTTTTGCACTCATCAGCGGCGTTACTTCAGTGTGGTTATGGTTATTATCATCATGAGTCCCCTTCCTCCTCCTCCTCCTCCTCCTACTATTGCTGCTGCCGCTACTGCTACGATGACGACCACTACTACTCTTATAGTTGGTCTTCTGGGTTCTTGTTTTTAGTATCATTGTTGATATGTGTATTGTCATTGTTACTCAACTTAGTTTCGTTATTGGTAGTCCCGTTGCTAGTCTTTGCTTGACACCTGCAGAGCCCTAGAACCCAGAACCCTCGGCCCACCGATTTGTAGCAGGAGACGCCAGAAACTCAAACGGCCCCCAAAGAAGCATTCGAGACCGGCTTAATGGCTTAAGTATATTGAGAAACCCTACACCAGACACCCAGAAAAAGAACGTGCATGTTTGCGGTTCCTTATCAACACCCAAGAGCTCTAGAAAGGTATTCCGCCTGGGCGAAACTGTCGGTCGCAGCTCCACTGGCCCATGCCCAACCGGGTCACTTGGCCGCCGTTGATTTTTTTCAGCTTGGCAACGTTAGTAAAAGCTACGAAGTTCAAGTCGCAGAACCGCCCAAAACCCCTCAACCCTGTGCCTGTAAAACTCCGCTCCCCAACCCTTACTCTGCGCCCAAAACCTCAACAAGCCCCAGTGTTGACCCTCTACCCGAAACCCCTGAGAGAGTTGAGGGTTTCCATGCATGCTGTGGCCACGCGTTCCCCATCAGTTCCTAGCTTCTGGCCTTTTACAATGGATGTCTGCTGGGAAACAGGGTGTGTAATCCCTTGGCCCTAAACCGTAAAGATTCCTGGCGTAACCATAAAGATTCCCTGCAATGCGGCTTCGTCCTTGCTAGGTAGGAGGAAAAATACGTAAAGATACAGAAGCAGCCCTGTGATAGCCCTAGCTCAGGTCAGTCCATGCCGCCCCCGGCCGACGACTCAAGCGTTTGGGTTCCCATCGCAACTCTGATGAAGTCTTTACTGCTCTTTTTGGTTTATTGTTTCCTAGATAGGGACTTTAAAAGCATCAATGTGTTGCTTTCCTTCTATATAATTCCAAGGGAATGAAGAACAGAAGCGCCTGATTTGCGAAGGTTCCCAGATACTGGGCTTCAGGGCCAAATGTTCGCGCTTGAAGGGTTTGGGGCTGTGGGTTTCGGTGCTATGTTTAGGGTATAGGATTTTAAGGTTTAGGGTTTAGGGTGTGGTGTCACTGTTTTTTGCATTTTAGAGTTTGAGGGAGTCAGCGTTGTGACGAGAGCTCTAAGTCGTGGCGTTGAGCCAGGCATTGTTAGAGTGCAGAGTGGAATAACACCTATAGTCTCCATTGTAACTCCTTTTTTTGCTTAACCAAAATCTCTATTAAATAGGATCCTAACCATAAGACTGTTTAACCAAAAAAAGGACCTACAATGGAGACCATAGGCAGAAGCCTGAAGTGTCGGCTCTGGCCGTGGGGCCCTGAGCAGATACAAATCGGCCCAGCGTTTCCCCAAAATCCTAGACCGGATCGCAACGGGCATAGGGAAGCCTAGGAGCATTAGATTTTTGGTGGTTCTTGGTAACCTGAACCTACACATGAAATCAGCCCTTTACCGGCTCCTCATTCAGCGAAGTAGTTACATGTGTTCCGGGAGGCAGATCGGATGAAGATAAAGACGTAACAGCTATTGGGTCCGTAAGCCCTAAACTCCACAAAACCGCGCAAAACCCATATGGCCTAAACTCCAGAGTTTTAGTACTTCTGGTGAAGCCCAAGATGGTGCACCGCGACATCTTCCGATACGCTTATGCTTGGAGCCGCTACAGGGGTGTGAACGAAGCAAAGGTCCGGGCATGTTACGAGCTTTAAGTTTTAGTTTCTGTGTCAGCCTCAACCCAAAACTTTTCAACCCTAAACCCTACCTCCAGGATGGAAGCTGCATTGGTTCGATCGGACGCTTTTTGGAGCAGCTTGGCTGACATGCTAAAGCATCATCGATTTCGACCGAGGGTGGCCCTTGCAGTTGTGGAGCCTGGAGTTTATTCCGAAGCACCTTCACGAAAGCCCATAACCCTTAAGTGGCACAGAAAAGCCTTCCGAGCCCCAGCACCTAACCCTATTATTTAATATAGCCTTTCGCATGTAGCCTGTCTGAACGTGACTGCCCAAGCATGAAATCCCTTCTGCTCAATGCCCGAAATCTCGGTTGACACAGTTCAAATCTGTCGGGCCGTGAGGGTGTTACCCTTGACATTTTGAGCCTGAAGGCTTAGACTTATAGATCTCTGATGCGAACCCTGGAAAAGGCTTTGTATAGAGCGACCTTGCGGGGCCAATGTAGCTTCAAGATCTACCTGTAGTCTCCATTGCAGTTCCTTATTTGTGGGCTAGCCAAAATCTCAATTGTAGGATCCTAGCCATAAAACTGGTTAACCAAAAAAAGGAACTACAATGGAGACTGTAGGTAGATGGTCGGACGTGCTGGATAGTGAGCTCTAAAGCCTGCACAAATGCGAGCATTTGCGAACATACCATTTGATGTAAATAGCAAGTATGATTAGAAGCAAAAATAGCAAGTATGATGATAGGCAAGTTTGCAAGTAAGCACATAGAGACATGAATAAAGTGTCTTTACTTATACATACGTCGCTCCCTCTCTCTCTCTCTCTCCCTTTCTCCCTCCCTCCCTCCCTCCCTCCCTCGCTCTCTCTCTCTCTCGCTCTCTCTCTCTCTCTCTCCCTCTCCGTCTCTCTCTCTCTCTCTCTCTCTCTCTCTCTCTTTCAGGGTCTTTCATGTTTTTCGCTGGGTTGAATAAAATTCGCCATTTTGCTGGCTTCTGTCGCTCCCCAAAAACCTTGAACCCCTGCTATCGAACCTTTATTATCGAGCCCGCTTGCGGACTTCTCAAACCTCTTCAAGAATTACAGTAGAAGCCAGAAAGTTGGAATATCATTATCGTAACCCCTTTAAGGTAAATTATAGGGGATCCTACCATTATTCCATATTCCAACTTTCTGGAGTTCCCTTTATTTGTTCCCGACCGAGGCAGATTTTTGTCCCTCCCGGCCGCGATCCGTGGAGACCTGGAGGCATCCTCAGCCGGTGTCGGGCGGATAACGGGCCGAAAATTAGGGGCTCCTTTAAAGGGATCTACAAGTGTTCCTTTTAAGGGTTCCTATAAGGGATCTATGGGTTTAGGGTTTGGAGTTTCCGAGAGTTAGGGGTACCTTACTTGGGGGTCCTTGTATTATAAGTATCCTACTATTTAGGGTATTGTATTAGGACCCCAAATTTCGGAAAGCCCCAAATCAGTAGACTGCGTTGGGTTGCAGGTATGGTATAGTATGTGATTAATAAAGCGGAAGAATGATAATCCCCTACTGAGCCCTACTGCCCGTCTGTAATTAAGTCATACTATATATGCCAAAACGCCTTGTCTCCTATGTTAGCAAGTTGCACCTCTCTCAAGTGTGCTGACGTGTGTTGGGTGCCTTCAAGCGAGGCTTTAGGGATGAGGTTGCGGAGTGTTGCGTTTGAGGTGACGCCGGCTGGCGGTCTAGCGTTTAGTGCTTGTGACATAGGTACTGTAGTTCGCAACGCCAGATTCATACCACGTGTGATGATAGCACATCCGGCAGGGGCAAAGTAGGTGACCTCGACACATACACTCGAAGACAGGGTGCGATGCACGTGTCACAAGCATTTACTAGCAACGCAAGTTTCAAGTCTGCGCTGCATATCTTGCAGCCCTCTGTGGCACGTGCGAAGTCCACACGAGCTCACCAGAGTTTTGTTGCAGCCTAAGCCCTTATTGCAATTAGGCTCGGAAGAGCCTTACAGTATATATCTGAAAGAGTATGTATACACCTTATAGCACAGAACCCTTACGGTATTCTATCCTGCTTGTAACCCCTACAGTATATCCGGTAGAGTATGTAAATAAACCTTGCAGCATAGCCTTGCAGCATAGAACCCTTATGGTAGTTTATCCTTCTTGTAATACTGTAACCCCTACAGTATATATCCGAAAGAGAAAGTAAACCTTGCAGCATAGAACCCTTGTGGCATTTTATCCTTGTTGTAACCCCTACAGTATGTATCCGATAGAGTGTATGAACCTTGCAAAGCATCGAACCCTTTTGGTGCTTTATCCTTCTTGTAACCCCTGCAGTATGTATCCGATAGAGTATATACACCTTGTAGCATCGAACCCTCTTGGTGCTTTATCCTTCTTGTAACCCCTATAGTATGTATCCGATAGAGTATATAAACCTTATAGCATCGAACCCTTTTGGTGCTTTATCCTTCTTGCAACCCCTACAGTATGTATTCGATAGAGTATATAAACCGTATAAAGCATTGTAACCCCTACAGTATGTATCCAATAGAGTATATAAACCTTATATAGCATCGAACCCTTTTGGTGCTTTATCCTTCTTGTATCCCCTACAGTATGTATCCGATAGAGTATATAAACCTTATAGCATCGAACCCTTGTGGTGCTTTATCCTTCTTGTAACCCCTACAGTATGTATCCGATAGAGTATATCAACCTTATATAGCATCGAACCCTTATGCTGCTTCATCCTTCTTGTAACCCCTATCTTATGTATCCGATAGAGTATACAAACCTTATAGCATCGAACCCTTGTGGTGCTTTATCCTTCTTGTAACCCCTACAGTATGTATCCGAAAGAGTATGTAAACCTTATAGCATCGAAGCATTCTGGTGCTTTATCCTTCTTGTAGCCGAGCAGCTCTTGGGCCAGGCCAAAGTGTGTCTAGCGCGGATAGCTTGGCCGTCGAGAAGGGTGATGCGCCTTGATCGATTTACTGCCTTGACAGGAGGGATCCTAAACCCTATACTCTAAACCCTAAACCCAAAACCCTAGGTTCTAAGATATAGGTCTGAGGGTTCAGGGAACAGAGATTAGTGTTTGGGGTGGCTTGGGCTTGAGGCTGTGGTCTGCACTCGCGTGATTCGGAGTTTCACCCTGGAAACGTTCTCTGCCAGGGTTTGGGGTTTAGGGTTTAGGGTTTAAGAAAATGCTTAGTGGGGTTGGTGTTTGACTTCCTCTGCTCTGAGTTGTGAGTGCAATTTCACAGATGCCAATAGTCCAAGGGTACAAGGAGGGACTCTTAATAAGGACCCCTAGGTATATACCCTTAATATAGCTATTGAATACCCATTATATGCCCCATTATAGGGTAGGCCCTTTGATTTAGGCTCCGGAAGTGTCGAAACCCTACCTCATTGTCATACCGTTGATGAAACCGGCATTACCCACACTAGGGAATGTACCATAAGTCCCATGGTTTAGGGTCCTTAAGGTAATGCAGGATTTTTACCATCAACCGTAGCTCCAACACTCCCATGCAGCAGGTATTTTGTTTCAGACTTTCGATCCCAAGGTACCTTGATTCCTAGCTCGGAGTCGTTGGAGTCTAAGCAAGACAAGTAGATCAATCCAGTCCTCAGCAAAATCGGTGTTGGGCAGTCACACATTCAAAGTTTCAGCAAGTTGATGTTGTAGTTAAGGCTGCGCCGCACACTCTGTGTGCTTTCTGCGTGTTTGCGCTTTGCCCCGTCGATTTCGGGCATTAAGTTTTCCAGCGCACGGACAGCAGGATCCCTGGATTCAGTCTGCGCCTGCCATACACCCCACAGCCTAAAACACCCAGGCTAATCAGCGCTGGTGCTTTCTTGGATGCCGTGCAAAAGACTAACTTCCTTGTGAAACACATATGGGTAGTTATCAAAATTCAGGTCCCTTGTTGGCTACCCTAAATACTAGGTGCCGTACTGTATTAGGGACCCCTAAAGCGACCATAATTTTGACAACCACCCAGATTTAGGCAGCTTTAGTCGGCCTGGCTTGTGCTACGCCTGCGATGGGCTTCAGATTCAGGGGCACATCCATAAAGAAGGATTACCCTAAGGCTCCATAGTACTCTCTTTTTTAGTGTTCATATTAGAATTCTGTAAGGTATTCCCAAAAGGGATCTATGCTACAGAGCCTCTGGGCATCCATAAAGATGGACTAGGTTGCGTCGTTTACATGCTGTGCGGCGAATCTACTCCGCTTCCCTGTTGCAGGTCACTCTCCGGGCACGTCGCCGAGGGCCTGACCTAGACTGGACCACAAGCTTAGCCGCACGGCGATCGAGCTGAGCGAGCTTTGGGCGTTTTTGTAGCTCATAGCCCCAAATTCACCGGCAAACAGGCCCAGGCCAAACGCACACCCTGAGCCATGTAACTACAAACCAACACATCACAATGACATCGACTATGTGAGCCTTATCACTCGTTTGTATCAGCAGCATCAGGCTTAGAGTGAAAGTGAGGTGGGATGTCAGATGACGAGTGGTTTAAGGCTTCACAAGGGTGTAGGGTGGAAGGTTTAGGGATGTAGGCTTTAAGGACTGTTGAAGGTATAGGATCGACGGAGTGCGCTGGCTTTTGTAGCAGCTGGCATAAGCCCCAGCATTTGTTTCATGCTGTTTTGAACGTATTTCCCTTTTCAAGGGCTGCCGGCTGGTAAGCTTGTGAGCTCGAACCCTAAAGCCTGGACTTCTTAAACCCTGAACTTCTCAGCCCCAAACCTATTGGTTTACTCTTTCTTGATTCAGGCGCGCGCAGCTTCCACAGTCCCTCCGGGATCTGTGAGGCGGCGACAGAAGGAGCAAAGGGATCCAGCAAATAGCATCAAGAAGGGGTTTGGGTTCGCAGTTGTAGAGCTTATATAATTACCCATGTGAAGACAACTGGGGGAATCTATGCCTGGTTCCGGGTTATGTTCTCCAAGACTACGTGTTGAGACCATCCTGTCAAGCACTGTTTTCTCAGCGCGAGTTACCGAAAAGCCTCGCCTCAAGCCAGGTCTGACGGTCGGAATCGAAGTGGCCGTCGGTTTCGAAGTCAATGATGATTATAAGTGCTAGGCCCTAAACCTAAGCCCTCATCCTCAAATCCTTGGGATTAAAATGTGGCCTTCCTGCCTGAAGCAGGGGTTTCATGGAACAGGCTTTCGGGACACCAAGATACTGCAAGCAATGAGCAGAGAATCATACCCTTGCGTTCCTTGAAGTATGTGACTTAGGGTTCATATTATGTTCCCGTGAGTGTATATAGGCCTTCTTAGGCAGTGTAGAGTGTATGGGGGTGGGTTCTCATTACAACTAGTCCCCAATCCCTTACTGGAATCAGTCAGCCACCTCAATGATGCAGCTTGGCGCGGCAAAAACCAGGATTTTGTAGGGGTGTTGTCGGGATTATGTGAACCGATTAATGGTTGTCAAACTGGGGCCTACCTATAGTTTCCATTGTAGTTCCTTTTTTTGGCTAACCAGGTTTATGGTTAGGATCCTATATCCGAGATTTTGGGTAACAACAAAAAAGGAACTGCAATGGAGACTATAGGTAGTGAGCATATTGGCTGTTGGGGAGCCTCTTGCCTCTTTATTCTTATTCCCCAGCAGGAGCGAGACAGGTGGCGCGCAGCCCCTCAACTCCATCACAGTCCTGGTGGGGTGAAACGGTGAAACCTATCCTCTAATACAGTTTTTTGCTAACCAGGCAACTACTGCATTTTTTTAAAATCCTGTGTTCGAGGTGCACAACAATAAGCAACAACCGGAACTGCAAAGGGAGTATGACTAGAGGTAAGAACAGGTTTCGGGCGCGATCTTCGGCCATGTGGGTTGACTGGTGAGGGTTTTATGGTTTTATTTAGGCTAAGACCAGAAACGCGCATCCTGAATAACATTTTCGACAATGATGACACAAGTAGTTCTTTATTGTCGCGCTGGAAATGCAGACGCGCTAGAGCATTGAGCATCGCAAAGCGTCATCTGTGCCTGCTCGCTTTTTTCCGTACTGCTGTTCCAAAAAGTTGTTGATCTGCAATCAAATCTGTAAAACTTGTTATGCCTTAAGCCAAGATTTATCTAGGGGCCCTAGAAAGTACAGCAAAGCTTTCGGAACATATGAAAGTATATGTATATGGCGACTCTAGGGGGGGGGCAGTCCCACCAACGCCTTGAAAGGCAAGCCTACAAGTCCAACAGCAGTTTCTGTAGAATTCCAGGGCTTGCAGGAAATCACAAAATTAAAACCCTAAACCCCAAAACCCTAAACCAAAACCCTAAACCCTAAATTCTAAACCCCTACCTAAACCCCAAACTCCTGCAAGGAAAGCCCAAGATGCTCACAACCCGAAAGCTGAGGTCCTCCATGAAGCCAACGGCGGTCAGCAAAATCGGCGAGCCGTTCTTGCATCTCTCGGCGCGGAGGAGTTGGCTTCTCTTCCGTAAGCCGGTGTTGGACATACCCATAGGCTCCATAGTAGTTCCTTTTTGGGATTACCTTATAGGATCCTATATATGAACCCCAAAAAGGAACTACTTTGGAGCCTCTAGGTAGTTTGTGTTTTTGAATTGCCGTTACGTCTCTCACTTGAAAGGAGTCAGATTTTCCGATAAAGATAAAGTAGGCCAGAGGATTCTTCGGACTCTTAATTAAGGGACCTCGTGGTTCATGCACACGATTCAGCATAGCTTGGTACTTGAAGTTGTTATTGAATATGCCGGTTCGAGTATGGGCAGATTGCTATCAGCTCTTTCAGAGTTCAGGGTTTCAGGTGTGAAAGCTCGGCTGATATGCGGCGGCCGTGGGTTTGGGCTGGCTGCGAGGGCATCCGAGTACTGCACTGCCATGCAGATCGACATGAAGAGCATGCCGGAGCATCCGACGGTTGATGATATAAATCCTGCATTACCCATAAGGTAATGCAGGATTTATATCATCAACCGGAGTACTGCACTGGTCAAAGCTACTTCAGCGTAGAGTGTTTGTGCCCTGCGTCTCTGGTTGAATCACATGCAGCCAGACAAGCAAGTCCGTCATGAGTTACCCAGAGGCTCCATAGTACTTCCTTTTTGGGATTACCTTAAAAGGTTCTAAATATGAACCTCAAAAAGGAACTACTATGGAGCCTCTGGGTGCCAGCACCGGCAGCAGCAGCGGCAGCAGCGGTAGCATCAGCAGCCACAACGAACATGTTAAGACTGCCCGGAATAATCACAATAGGTGAGAACTCAACGTGATCAGTTCCAGGACAGCATTAGTCACCGACGCAAGGCGATTATAATCGTAGCCAGCCTGAGATGTTCCTGTATCTGTCATGGTTCCTCATCATCATGATCCTTAATTACTGTATCTCAAACTTTGATTGATTGAATTAGGGATGCCTGAGTGCGGGGAAGTGTACGTATCAGGCTACTAATTGATGGGCTCTATACCAGCTTCCCCTGTTCCCTGAATCAGGAGCGGGCGCATCTGCGGGCCTTTGTCAAGAGGCAGCTTCGGCGATACCAGGTCCGGGGTTAAAGCCAATGTGCAGCATGGACAGGCTGTAGGGTTTGCGTGGACCCTAAAGAACCTACCTTTATTAGGGTTCCCTAATATGATTTCTTTATATAATTACGTCCCTGAAAAGGTAGGTTATTTGGGGTTAAGGTAAGGCTTAGGGAGGGCTTTTGGGGCTTGAGGTTGGAGCTGGTTGCAGAATCATGGTTTTCGACCTCGTCTTCAGCAGCCTGCCAGGGAGACTGCGTGTCCGGGCCCACTAAGGTTTTCCCTAAGCAAGCCCCAAACTGGCTCGCTATTGCCATTACCCTAAGGCTCCTTAGTAGTTCCTTTTTGTGGTTCATATTAAGAATCTTCTGAGGTTAACGGTTATCCCAAAAAGGGACTACCATGGGGTCTTAGGGTATTCCCATGACTCAATTGATCCCGGAATCCTTGGCACAGAAGTTGCAGGCGTTGGCCAATGAGCTTTCCAGGCTCCAAGGCTTCGCCAGTTCCCGAAGCTGCAGTTTAGAGTTTAGGGTTTAGTCTGCGCAAAAAGGGTTCCTAAACCTAACCCTAAACCCTAAACCGGGCTTATGGAAGCTGCAATAGGGCTTTAGGATTCTAGGGCTTGGAGGTTTAGGGCTTTCAGGGTTTGGGGGCTTAGGGTTTGGGGGTTTTGGGTCTCAGGGACTTTGAAATGTGGGCGTATGTTATAGATTTTTTGAGGGTCTTGAGGTTGATGACTGAGGGGCATGTGGGTCTCGATGTGTGTGTTTTCTGGCTCCATGTCACTACCCAGTATATATATATATATATACTTATGGGCCTTAAAGTCCCCATATAGCAACCCCTTCAAGGCGTATTCATATAGTATGTTAAACCTGCTCCAAGTCCTTTTCACTCCACGACGAAACGCGCCCTAAGCCCCAAGCCCCTCCAGCCCTTACACCTTGTAGGATCCCGAAAAGAAGCCCTTAAACGATCCCTCTCAGCAACTTCACCTTCGATTCCGCAGTTAAAGACAAGAGCGCGTGCCCGAAAAAATCAGCGTAATAAGAAAAACCCTGTAATTTTACCTACCAAACCCTACTTTTTTGAAGGTCCTTACTATGAGCCCTAACATACGGAGTTTATAAGGACCCTACAAAGAACCAGGGTTTGGTAACGGCCGCACCCAGGGAAAGAGCGCCTGGCGAAGTTGAGTGTGGAGGACTCCCTGGTTTCCAAAGGCTCCATGTGCCCATAAAGTAGGTACTTAGGCCTTAAAGGGGTCCCTGTATAGGTACTTGAAGGCCGAAGTACCTACTATATGGGTACATGGGGTTCTTAGGGAGGGAATGGGGGAGTGGATGCCCATGATAGTGTCTTAAGGTCCCCAAAAGTAGTCCCAATAACCCATTCTGTAGAAGTCCCTTTCGTATCTTAAAAATCCCCAATAAGCCATTTATGATAGTGTCTTAAGCTCCCCTATAGTAGTCCCAATAACCCATTCTATAGTAGTCACTTTATATTCTAAAACCCCCAGGTAATTGTCTCCATGATCCATCTATGATAGCGCCTTAAGGTCCCGTATAGTAGTCCCATTTCCTATTCAGAACCAGACGGAGGATCGCGCGAACTTCCAGAGCTGGCTTCTGGAGCAGAAAGCCGGCCACCCTGATGCCAGAAGGGGTTTAGGAATGAGAGTGTTAGGGTTTAGGATTTAGGGTATCCAGATGCCTGGCTGCCTGGCTCGAAGATGCAAGGCAAGGAGCAACCCCAGGGCAATGTGCACCGCAGCCCCTGCTCAAAACAAGAGGTTGAGGGTTTAGGGTTTGGGGTTTCCGTCAGTTTCTTTTGTAGTTTCTTTACCCGAAACCCACCGGTTTCCAGACATTCTACGAGGGGCAATCAATGTTATGAATAGCTTACGGGTCATATCGAGGTATCAATTGCAAGGGTTACCACGTACTTTCTAGACTGAATACCATAATTATTGGGTACTGTGACGCCGAAGCTTGTTTCAGATGGAATAGAAATATCAACACGGACACTCATAGGGTGTAGAGCTTTCTGTTGATGATATAAATCCTGCATTACCTTAAGGACCCTAAGCTATGGGAATTATGGTATATTCCTTATTATGGGTAACGCAGGATTTATATCATCAACCGTTTGCGTTTAGAAGATTTCGTACTGTCCGGATCACGGTATCTGCCGTTAATGTTTTTTTGCAGTTTTTGGCATTACCCAAAGGCTCCAAAGTAGTTTCTTTTTGGGCTTACCTTATAGGATTCTAAATATGAACCCCAAAAAGGAACTACGATGGAGCCTCTAGGTACACCCTGCTGCCAGAAGAGATTCGACAGTATACAGGTTACTCTGAACGTTCTATACAGGTTATACTCGATCTTACAAGTTGCTCTACTTGACAATGCTGCCAGAAGCTGTTATTTCTCGGGTTCTCTTACCTTGACCCCGAATAACCGACCTTTTTATGGACTTATATGAAGACTTCATATTAGGGAACCCTAAAAAGGTAGGTTATTTTGGGGTCCTCTTAGGGCTTATCAATTTTCTTGGTTGCAGTATGCTGGCTGGGTCAGACCGACGACTCGGACGTCTAGCACCCGAAAGCCCGTCCAACTTTTTCCCAAACTCGAAAAAATGAAACCCCAGAGCCCTTAACTCCCAAACCCTTTAAACCCATGTGGGTGGTTGTGTCGAAATTGTGCTCCCTTTTTGGGCCCCTAATATGATACCGCACCTAATATGGGGACCCTTATTTTGATAACTGCCCATGTGGGAAATTCAATGCCCGAGCATGATCAGCGAAGAACTGAGGGGTGGCCTCAGGAAGGTTTCTGAGGTCTACATGTGATGGACGATGTAGGGGCGTGAGCAATTAGAATACGTTTTGGGGTATATGAAGCTAGTTGCATAGATTCGATTTGGGCTTTCAGGTCTGGGATTTGGGACGAATTATACATACGGTTTTGGGGTATATGAAGCTACTTGCATAGATTTGGGCTTTCAGGTTTTGGATTTGGGAACCTGCGACTCAGTCTTCGTAGTTGTCGGTGTGGTCCCGGAGTCGAACGTCGGGGCTACCCTAAGGATCCATAGTAGTTCCTTTTTGGGGTTCATACTTAGAACCCTATAAGGTAATCCCAAAAAGGAACTGCTATGGAGCCTCTGGGTAGTGTAGGAAGTGCAGAAAACGAGTGATGCTTTCCCCTAGGGCCTTAGGGTTCCTTCATATGGTTACACTACAGTACACCCCCCACCCCTGTTGCAGTTATAAAGGTGCCTATACTGTACATGGTACGTTGGCCTGCCTTTCCGTAGGGGCCACAATTCGTAGTAGTAGGGTTTCTACAGAGGGCAGTTTCAGGTAGGTCCTGCGGTTGATGACATCAATCCTGCATTACTTTTTTGGCCCCATGAGAAATATGGTATATGTGGGTAATGCAGGAGTTATATCATCAACCCTATCCCTGAGCTCTGCCCTTCCTTGCCATTGCCCAATTCCTCAGGTCTTCCTGCGAAGACAAGCGCGCGGTAGCGAAGGAATGATGGAGATTAGTTAAACGAGATTTCTTTCGTAGGTTGTTGTGAGACATTGTGTAATTTAGGGTAGGCCTGCCTTGGTCATGGCAGTTGTGCGCCGGCATGTCGATTCGCAGGTTGTTGAAGGCTTGTTAGCTATGGGGTTGGGCTTTAAATACAGATCTGTTTTGTAGGAACATCCGGCGGGGCGGTCTGCTAGCTCACGAAGTGTTGCAAGGAGAATGACAAGCCATGCAGACGGATGACCCAGGAAGCACAATCAGTCGCTGTGCCCACTAAGACTCTTCTAAAGAGCAAGCAGATCTGCTCGCTTTCATTTAAGTCGTGGACCAGGTCAGGCTCGATGCAAAAAGGCTGTCGAGCAAATGTCTTTCCATGCTGAATTCACAGCGATGTTCCTGCCTCAAACTGGGTTAGCACAAGGTGTTAAGCTACTGAAGTGCCATCACGTAATCGTGCAAACTGTGGGGTTTTTCAAATTGTAGCTACATAATATAGCGCGATCGAGTCGTCTCAGTTCTGAAGCCCGCGCTCCCCCTCTATATGTAGGTATGTATGTATATGTGTGTGTGTGTGTTTGTATATATATATATATGTATATATATATATATATATATCATATCATATCATATCATATCATATCATATCATATCATATCATATCATATCATATCATATCATATCATATCATATCATATCATATCATATCATATCAAATCATATCATATCATATCATATCATATCATATCATATCATATCATATATATATATATATACATATATATAGCAACATTCGTGCTTGATTGACAGGCTTTCATGCTTGCATGCAGCCTGCGGTTTGGCTTCCTGGCTGGCTGGCTGGCTGGATGGATGGATGGATGGATGGATGGATGGATGGACGGGTTTATGGGTCTCCATGGGCCGTGCAACCATCACCTTCGTCACTGACATTATCTTCTTTAACTGCGAGATTTACGTCAGCGTCCCGAAGGGAACATGCCCCTTCCTTGTAGGCACTCTGGCCTTCAGGGGAGTCCTGCATTTCAAGGGTCTGTGTAAGTTGTAGTCGCATCCCCTTACACTCCTAAGATCACTCTAGGTAGTATAGTCCATCAACCTCACACACCAAAGCTGATCAGTTTGAGGCCCCGATATTGCTGTCACGGCTTTCGTTGCAAAGTTATATGCCCCATTTCAACAAAACAAACCCCATGCTCTAAACTCTCCCCCCCTCCTTCCAAAACATAGAGGAAGAAGCAGCTTAAGATTTAGACCCCGCCAACTCAGAACTCGCAACTGGCAGATCATGGACGAGCAGGGCTTCACTCCAGGCATGCTCATGGACAGCCCGTCCCCCCAGCGTTTTGAGGGCTAAGGAAGTGTATTGTAGCTCTATAGGGCTTCAAGGAAAGGCTTTATAGGTTTGCGTTGCCGGCGCTGTAGTTTTTCTTTCAGCACGGGTGTTGACAACGGTGAAGTGCGCAGCTTCTACAGTGCAGAGGCTCGGAGTTCAGTCCTAAAGCCAGAGCTCCTTGACCTTTTAGGGTTTAGGGTTTAGGGTTTTGTTGCGGAGGCTTGAAGCCTGCATGTGGGACCACATGGGACTGGGACCAAACCTCATACCCTCGTCGCGCTCAGACGTCAGAATCCTCAGCCTTAGCATTCCTTTCCTTGCCGGAGTCCCGTGCGTTGGTTTTGGTAGTTTCCGAAAATTAGGGGGTACCTTGTGTTGGTGTCCGTATGATAAGAATCTTACTATTCAGGGTAATATTAGGGTCCCCGATTTTCGGAAGTTCCCGTTTTGTCGCTCTTGGTGAAAGTCGTTGCTCACGCCAGTTGCGGCCTCTGGCCCCTCATGAACCTTCCATCCCCGTGGCTCCCAAAACCCTGGGCTCTAACTCTCAGGCCGGAACCCTGCCCGGCCCCAAACTCCCACGAAACAGAAGATCCCGGTACGCATTTTCTGAATGGGGAGTTTCCGAAACTTAGGGGTACCTTATTTGGGGGTCCTTATAAGGAAGATCCTACTAGTTAGGGTACTATACTAGGGTCCCAGTTTTCGGAAATTCCCAATTATAAGTCCCCGAAGCCCTAAACCCTTTTCGCCCCCGACGTTACTGAGAACAGTTTCAGAACAAGAGACACTGCCCAGGTCCGAACAGGCCAGTGGGTCCGAGTGCCATCCACTGCTCGGGGTTTAGAGCTTTCGGGGATAAGGTTTTGGTTTTAGACTGTTAGAGTTTGGGATTTCGTTTTCAATTTCAGAGGTTGAGAGTGTCTGGTTTAAGATTAAACCTTAAACCCTTAGTTACCTTTTTTGGACTTTCGACTTCCGAGGTCCAGAGGTTAGGATGTGAGTGTGCGGGTGAGTGCATGATTTAGGGCCGGGGCTTCGCAGTGGCTCGCGAACCTGAGAACTCAGCATTCGGCAGCGGCGCACACACACACACCAACATCTACCCTTCGCGGTAACTTAACTACCCCGCTGTGACTAAAACTGAGCCTTAACCAGCATGGCATCCAGATGGCTTTTGAGAGCCCTCGTTGTTCCTGGAGACTTGTATTTTCTCTGACCCTGCGTGCCCATGTGAAGTTTTGCACTGCGGCAAACTGCTCGCGGAAATGGCCTCCCTAAAGGAACCCTGAAGACAAACCCTAGGCACTAAAGCCCAACAACACATCCTAAACTTTGAGAACCCATACCCTCAAAGGAATCGTTTCAGTAACCTATAAAAAAAGGCCTCTATATAGGAACCCTAATCGAAATCTTAAGCCACAAAGCTCAACAATCTAAAACCTAAAACCGCTTACAACCTATACCCCTAAACGAACCCGTTTAGGAACCCGTAAAACCGACTTCCTAGAGGACCAAACCTAAACCCCTAAACCCCTAAGCCCCTAAACCCCAAAACCCCTAAACCGCTAAACCTTAAACCCCTCAACCCTAAACCCCTAAACCCTAAACCCTTAAACCCCTAAACCCTGAACTTGGTAGCTGAGTGGATGCACTTTACACTTTTTGGGATAATACTACGCACTATAAAACATACAAGTGTACACTTTTGGGGGATTACGAACTCAGCAACGAAGTGGACCCTTGAGCTTCACAGGTCCAGCCGACCCTTGAGCCGTGAAGCGGTGAAGGCGCTCTCAGTGCCGGATGGTGCCTGGCCTTGCACCTTACGGTGTAGGGATTAGGGTTTAGGATTTAGGCTTTAGGGTTTAGGATTTAGGGTTTAGGGTTTAGGTTTGGGGGTGCTTGGCCTGAGCGCACGAGTCGCTTACTCACTAAGTGATTGTGGTCCAATATTCGTCCTGGCGGAGTCGCAGCAGGCCAGTTGCAAAAGGGATTAGGGCTTAGGGTTCAGGGCTTGGGGCGTTCCGGGTTTAGGGTTGGCCTTGCATCTTACGGTTTATATCGGGTTTAGGGATTAGGGTTCAGGGTTTAGGGTTTAGGTCTTTAAGGGTTTGGGATTAGGGTTTGGGGTTTACGGTTATGGCTTGGAGCTTTTAGGGTTTAGAGTTCAGGTTTGGGGGTTCAGGGATTAGGGTTTGAGGTGTGAGCTTTTAGGGTTTAGAGCTTAGGGTTTAGGTTTGGGGGTTTTGGGATTAGGGTTTGGGGTTTACGGTTCAGGGCTTAGCGCTTTCAGGGCTTTTAGGGTTTACGGTTTAGTGGGGGATTAGGGGTTAGGGTTCAGGGTTGTCAGGATTTAGGGTTTGCGGGCTCAGGGTTTGCCGGTGGCCCCAGAAACCTGTTTCTTTACGGATTTATGTTTAGAAGCCATAACAACAAAGAACCTTAGAGATGTAGGTTTTGGAGCCATCGTGAGATTCAGGCTTCTATAGGGTTTAAAGATGTTCAGATTGAGGGTTTTTGAGTTTAGCAGTGGGCTTACAAATGAAGGCTTTTGGCTTCTGTCACCAAGCAATCAGGCAATATACCCTGTGTCGTAGTTTCATCCTAGCAAGCTGGGAGGCGCAAAAGCACATGACGTTTGGCTTTCAGGCTTGGGGGTTCGGCTGTAGAGTTCCGTGTTTAGAGTCGCAGTTGAAGATCTAGAGCTCCAACTCGAGCTTTTGGTGTTTAGGGGAGGCGGGGGAAGGTGGGGGGGGTGGGGGGGGGGGTAATGCAACAACCTGATTAAGAAACCTTGGGCCTTTATTAGGGTTCCTTATATGAATCCTAGGATTTTGGTGTTATAGGCTATAGTCCCAGGGTTTCTTAATCAGCTTCCTACATCTACATCAGGGTACTTTCTGAAGCTGGTGCACTTCGTAGCTGAGAAGGTCGGAGCTGTCCATGAATGGAAGGGATCCTTGCAGGGTTCCCCAGAGATTCCAATACCCCTTAATTATTGAATCTTAAATCTTAAGGAATATACCCTAAATTATAGTAGGATTCCTGCATGTGAACCAGAGGTCTGGTCTTTATCTTAATAGTTGTTGGAGTAGGGTTTGGGGTATTATTTATGTGTGTATATATATATATATATATGACATAGATAGGTGAAACCTTTACTCTTCACCCCTTAGACTCTAAGTTCTAAGCCCTTGGACCCTCAACGCTTAGTTATTCTCTCTATGTTGCGGTTATCCAGTGTTGGACTTCTGGGCGGGCCTGAACTCCCGTTGGTTGGTCCACTTCCGCTTCAAGACATACTTCGCGTTGTAGGGTTTGGCGGCTTTAGGGTGTACTGTAGGGTACATGTTTCAGGCATTTTGGAGGGTTTCGAGTTTCGGGGTATGCGGATTAGGACTTATGGTTTAGTTTTTATGGTTGGGCCCTTCAGTCAGGCTTGACGTGCCGAATGGTTGGGAGAACGAGAGAGAGAGAGAGAGAGACAGAGAGAGAGAGAGAGAGAGAGAGAGAGAGAGAGAGAGAGAGAGAGAGAGAGAGAGAGAGAGAGAGAGAGAGAGAGAGAGAGGGAGAGAGAGAGAGAGAGAGAGAGAGAGAGAGAGAGAGAGAGAGAGAGAGAGAGAGAGAGAGAGAGAGAGA